GAGGAAGTTTTGGGTGTTCTCCATGCTTTACACAATTCCTGCACAAAGCGCAAGAGTTTTGATTTCTTAAGCGTCTGCATATCCTATGCAGCCGATGTAGCTTCATGGCCAACCTCTTTTCTCTCCCCCCTCCCCTTCCCTTATACCTGACACTTTCTCGGATAATCGCCAGAGGCAGGCGGCCATGTGATTATCGGCGGGCGAGCACCGGAAAAATAGTTCGCCGATTTCTTGCGGTCCGCTTGCAGAGGAAGAATTTGAGCGAGATTTTGGACGAATGCTTGGAACAATCGCGGTTTCCTTATAGATTAGCTGCGGCGCAGTGGCCGCATTCTCGCGGGATTTCCGCGAGAAGAGGCAAGATTTTCGGGGACCGCACGGTCCTTTGTGGAGGATCGCGCTGCCCCCAGGTACTTTCCGCTGGGAGAAAGTACCTCAAACTTGAGTAATTAAACCAGCATAACACCTCTGCCACACAGAGTCTTTCCTGTGCTCGGCGTATGCCCGAAACTGCTTAAAAAGAGTCCGAGCGCTTGCTGAAAGTTTGGCCAGCGCTTGCTCTAAGAAATCATTTGCCGAGCGCTTGCAGTAAATGCTGTAATGCTGCCGGCTGGCAGAATATGCGACCGTAAAGGAAGTGCCGCCAGCTGAAGGTTCGGCCACGCCCCAAAATCCAGTTGACCGCTTGCAGAAAAGCGCGAGTTTGCGGACCGCCTGCCCCCGGCGATTATCTGAGCAGCTGGAGGTTTGGCCACGCCCCAAAATCCTGTTGACCGCTTGCAGAAAAGCGCGAGTTTGCGGACCGCCTGCCCCCGGCGATTATCTGAATTCGTGGACAAATCAAGCGCACACAAGTGGAAAAACATTACTTGCAATCAGAAATTAGACGGACTTCGGGCGAAAAGTAAAATGCCGCACGATACAAGACATATGCGAGAATCGCAGAAATTTCCTTCACCTATTATAAGAAATTACTGCGAAAGGAAGCGTGGAAACGTTATACTGAACACGAAGGCTCTGCACGACTAAAAAAACCCAATCTGATTCAATGTATCAATGAAACTCGCCAGAATTTGTATTCATCAAGGGCGACGAGATGCAATGTATGACTGAAATGGAGAATTTGGGGAATTCTGACTACGTTCAATAACAGGAATAGTTTTACGACTAATAATGAGATGTGCTGTAAGACGAGTTCAAGCGAAGTGTGTACAAAAACTTTATAACCCACCATCATATATGAACTTTATGATTTTATGTTGCAAATGTCGTCACCACATGTTTTTAATGAATCAGCGCATTTCGCTGGGAAACAAAATTGCTTGGTTCTATTTGAGGCTTGCTGTGCATAGATTCATTGAATACACTGGCTTGCAAACAAAATTTGAGTTTTATCAATATCAAAATCAAACTTCCTAGGCGCACTCCGATGTGTGTTTCAACGCTTCTGAAAATGTCAGGAGTGGTAGTAATATGGTCGAAACCAACGAATAATGTGATGGTTCGATCATGATTACATCGTGGTAAGCATGATCATCTTCTTACGGCCGTTCAGTTCAAACGGTCATATAAAATTATGAAACATGCAAGTTACTTTCGGAAAACCATACTTGTTTCATGCTTGTTTCATTCTAAACCAAACTATGAATTAATCAGCAGGTTAACACCATTGTTTCCTTATCAGGTAGAGTAATGAAAATAGCATCTCATTTCATGAGACGCAAACGTGAAACCACCATATCATAGTTTAAAGGCAGTGTCCGGGCAAAAAGTCGATTTTGAGATTTTGTGCTTACCCGAGCCTATTCGCTACGCTGAATCCGAAAATCCACACTGGAGAGCGCAAAAACGGCGAATTGGGCTCTAATGTAGAAGGGAAATTAGCAGTTGAGCGGGTTCTCACTGTAAATTCACATTCCTAGCTTCCGAACGATCTTCTCGACTTCGCTAGCCGTCTCGACATCGCCACCAGCCATGTGCAAATGCCTGACTTGAAATCGGAGCCGAGAAGATCGCTCCGAAAGCTGGGAGCGTAAGTTCGCAGCGGGAAGAAGGACTGGCAGAAATCTCACATGAACAAATGTGTATGGACTAGGAAAGAGGAAAGATGCGGGGCAGAAAACGCGAAATGCCAAACTGATGTAGGAAAACACTAACCATCCGGGTTTCAAACCGTTTACCGGAGCGAGCGGCGCAAAACATATACACCACTATGTATGTAGACTGCGAAATAATCAGTGTACTAGTTTTGCTCTCACCTATGTAAGGGAACCTGATCTTCACAGGTTGATAACCCATTAACATTTATTGGATCAAGTTTTACTATTCCGGCAGACGGGCGAACACCGTTGACTGCGAATAGTTAGAGAAGAGGGAAAGCTTTTTGAAGACGGGCTGTAGAGGTGTTTCAATGATTCAAGGCGATGTAAATTGTAAACGAGGGCGCAATATGAGGACTGTACAACCCGTTCGTAATTTTAGGCGGCGGCCGCCGGAGTTCGCCTAAATTCGCGTCGCATAGCCATATCACATTTCAGCCTAGACAAATTCTGAATCCAAGGACACCATCCACAGGGGCGCATTTTCTGATGCAGAGAAATCACTGTTGCTGTACGGTTTTAATACGGTAGGTAGTCGAACTTCGAGTTTCGTTAGACTTCTGCTTAAATGGGTTACTCAGTGTACTGATAACGTTTATGTTAATTTGGTGTTGGTGGCAATTTGAATGGTTACTGTGAGAGAACGGTGAAAAGTCCTTCTGCCTTGGTCTGAGGTCTTCAATTATGTTCGAACGGGTTTATGCAAATTGGCAACTTAATACTTAATGTAGTTAGAGAGTCCCGACAAACATTACTCCATAGAACAGCTTCCCGAGTCCCTTAGCCGTCAAACAGAGTGCAAAGAAGCTTCCGAAGTAAAAGCGAAAATAGCTAGCAAACTTCGAAGAAATCTATATTTACCTAAACTCTGTTCACCGTAGCCCTACAGTAAGGAGCTATAATGCAAAACAGATGTGATTTTCGTAATTGCAGGATCGAATAACCTTATATGGTCAGATTTTCCAAGGAAATCGAGTCACTTGATTTTTATTTTTACTCGATATTCGTTCCTCGCTGCATGTTTAGGTTGTAATAATGACGATCTTCGAGAAACTTCGCTCACAGAGGTATTCGGACACATTTACGAAATTCTTAGTTATGCACAGAAGTGTTCTATAGTAAAGCTGTAGTGAGAGGATTTAGCTTGACCACGCATGGTCGCAAAATTATGTGGATTTGATATGGTGTGATATTTATGCTCCGAACCCACCCAGTTGGTTTGGTGTTGGTCTAGAAATCAACAAATTCGGAAACACATATTATGACAAATAAGTTTTTGGAACCTTTTACATAACAATTTGGAGTAATATTGTATACACATAGCCCAAATTCGGAGCCATGTGATTGTCTGTGCGATGTAAACGCCATTTGTTTGTTTCAGTCTTGTGTTTGAAATTCGCGCGCTTGCGAAAGAACACTCAACTCGTAAAACCTGACATATTCGTCATTTTTTGCGCTTCCTCCAGGACCTGATGAAAACGATATCCCCTTGCTTCTAACTTCAGGAACAAAATTTGAAATTTCGCATGATGAATCCTTTTCGTGGTAAAGTTTTGAGCAAATATATTTCGACAAATTTAACGTATACCCCCCCCCTCCACAGATTAAAAAAACGGCGCTAAATTGAAGAATTAATATGATATACATGTTCAGCGTGCTTCCTGTGATTTCGCCCTCTCACGGCACACCTGCCGCAACCATGCTGGGACACGTACTCGTGCAGAAAAGGTGTGATATTCGTGATCGGCATGTCGAATAATTCCTCGTATACAGTTTCAGGGAGATGTGAGATTTTGACCCCATGCTGTGTGCTTGATGTAATCTTTCGAAAAAGGCCTTGATATGCGAAATGAGTACCTCGTGATATGCAGGTCGAATGACCTTGAACGAATTTTTAAGAGTGAGTTATTGGGATGTATTAAGTGGAGTAGCTCCTGGGATGTATTAAGGGGAATAGCGTCTGTACTTCTGCTGAGAAAAATCAAATTGGCTTCTCGTCCGCACTTCCTCCAGGATTGTATAGCTTATACAAATCTGTATAAATGCTTCGGTGTGCTTGTATAAAATGCTGTACTTCGATGCTGCTGCCAACGCTATCAAAAGTAGTATGAGTTTGAGGAGACGACTTCACTCCCCTCGCCACAGAATGTCACGCTAGATAGTCAACGATTTGACACATTAACAGTTTGATAGAAACAATCGAGTTCATTAGAAATCGTAGTTATTTCTGACTAGCTAATTACATCTTTTTTATCTTACAGGCTCATAATCGGAAGTTTCCGCGTTCGCCTCCGAGCCACTTGCATCTTCCTGTTTTGACTATTCAAGAGCACGCCAGTGTGGGCATGGAATGAACTGAATATCTAATAAATAAACTTGTACCTTTCTGCTTTGAGCTTACAATGAGACATCGAGAGCGAACAGCTGGGTTAGCACTTTACAACGGTTCGGCCATCTCAAACTGATCATCAGCTTACTGACCATTCTGATTTATTTTTTCGTTGTCACAAGCCTCCTTGCTTCCTCTTTTGCACTCAATGAAGTACTATGTTCCATTAAACTGCGTAGCTTCAAGCAGTGAGGTAATCCTTGATCTCATCTAGGGTAAAAGCCGTGGGAGTTTTGCCAAGTCGAATTCAGGATCGCGCTGGACGGCCATGGCATCAAGATTAGCTTTTTGGTGTAAAACAATCTTTAGCTGAGCACCTATGGTCGGCTCTATTGATCAATTGCTCGGCTGCGCTCTGCTGTATTGCTAGAAGAACAAGTGGTTCTTATCCATCACATAAGTATTTGTCTCCCATTCCATCTCGTAAATAATCTTTCATCTTCTCTGATTAACGTCTGAGGTTTACGCCGAAATAGACACAATTTCCATTTTTAGTGACAATATTTTCTTGCAGATTATATCTATGCTTAACAATTCGACAATGCGCAGTTGAGAGCGTTAACAGTTTTTCAAAACCTATTCGTTGAATTGAGACTATGCAAAGCATAGGAACTATAATAGGTAAGTTCAAATTTTTCACGTGTTTTCGAAATTTTGTGTAATTTTGAGTGCCAATCTCTTTGCATTCAGAGAGATGGAGTCGCACACGACCCATCGATCTTACAAGTAAAACTTGTTTACATAAGCACTTTTGGAGCTTTCTACTTTATGTTTTACGCTCTCAAAGGTAATCCAACTTCATCTGGCTGGTATTAGCTAGAACGTATGACAACACTTGATGGTTTTTGTGGATATAGCAAAATTTTGGAAGATCTGCCCACGGCATTGGGTTGCAAAGCGATTAACATGCGAAAAAAAGTGCCATTTGCGTTCATGAGAAGCCTCTCCGGAACTGAGTCGATATTGAGAAATATCCCATAAAGGACTCTGATTTATTGCTCAACTTTTCATGATAAAACGTTTCATTGGAAAATCCCGGAACGGTGTTCCCAAACTTTTTGCATTCAACAAAAGAGCAAAATGTCTCCTTGTCTTTCCGTGCTTAGAAAAAGGGTCTTATCCAGCCAGCCAAAAGGATAGATAAAATGCTGCCAGATTTGGGAAAATCAAATTTACAAGAAAAATAAACTGAATTTCTTCCGCAATGATAGACTTTTAAGTTTTTTTTGGCATTTCATCTTGAAAGGAAATTTTTAGATTTTTGATTTGTTATCAATCAGTGAGCGACTATATCGTGTAATGAATCAGTGGACATGAGGTAGACCAAATCAAATTGACTTCCGAATCAAAGCCTGTTGTATAGTTAGCTTTGCAGAATTTTGTCTTTTTATAGGTTTGTCGCTTGCCATCTTCTATGCTGTTGAATCGAATCGCTACGCAGAACAATTATACGAAGATTTGCTTTATTACTATAATAAGAATGTGCGACCGGTCAAGAATGCCAGTGAAAGCATTAAAGTCAAATTCGGTGCCTCGCTTATACGAATAATTGATGTGGTGAGTTTGGATTGATGCAATCAGAATCAAGCAGTAACCGATATCAGGAGGAGACTGCAACCACGTATTGAGCAGTGTATTTCAGGATGAGGTGAATCAGGTGCTAACAACCAACTTATGGCTGGAGATGCAATGGTTCGATTATAAATTGTCTTGGGATCCAGCACGTTGGGGTGGTATCAGAAAGCTACATATACCGTCGGATCAAATATGGATACCAGACATTTTGCTTTATAACAAGTGAGTTTTGATTCTCAGGAATGAACTCTTCATTTTTGCTTTTCATGCCGAACATTCATAAAGAAATCAGTTAATCATCATCTCTAAAAATCTTCAGTGCCGACGGAGAGCCTCACATCAGCATTCTGAGTGACGCCCTGGTTTACCATAATGGCTTGATAGTGTGGAAACCACCGAGCATCTATAAATCTTTTTGTCCCATCAACATCGAGTACTTTCCTTATGATTCGCAATCCTGTACGTTGAAGTTCGGAGGATGGAGCTACAATGGTTTCCTTCTCGATGTCCGACAGCTACCGGTGAGTCATAGAAACCTCAAAAGAAAGTTAAAAAAAGAAGTTTAGTCTGCTGGATCTCCAATCATAAATCGAGAGGATGAAAGCGGAAAAGAATATCAGTATCTAGAGATAGGCATGGATCTTTCTGGATTTTATCAGTAAGCTTCACAAACCGATTCAACAAAGAATCAACATTTACAATATATATAGAAGCCTGGAATGGGATCTGATGTCGCTGACGTCACAGCGACACGAACAATTGTACCCGGGATGCTGCGGTCAGGATTTTTACATCGATGTTACATTCGACATCAGTCTGCGCAGGAAAACCTTATTCTATACTGTGAATTTGGTTATACCATGTATGCTCATAGGTTAGTAATCTATAGAGTGTTCTCACAGTTTTCTTATTCAAGTAAGTGCAGTGAGGGACGCAGGAGAACTTCTTTGAGTGGTGCAGATATACGGAGAAATTTGGAAATCTTTCTTTCAAGTTTCGACAATTTTGATGATTTTAGTTCACAAATCAGGGTTTGGAGGGTTTGACCCATAGCGCGAAACTGGGGAAAGTATGCCATCATCCTTCATCCTAGAATAATTCTTTGCGCTCTTTCATATCAATTATCGTTTTAATACATTGATTGCTCAAATACTGTAACTTTTGCATGATTATTGAATAGTGTAGCTCATAAGCACTTGTTCACAATATAGGACTACTTGCCTAATCTCTGACCGTTATGTGAAACTGTATATCCAGACATCACACATGTTTAGTACATGCAGGTAGATTCATGCCCCAAAAAGTGATGATGCTTTTTTCAGCTATTCTGACGACGTTCGTATTCTACATTCCTCCTATTGAGCACAAGATGACGTTTTCTATTTCGATTCTCGTATCGCTCACTGTATTTTATTTGGTTCTAATTGAACTCATTCCACCAACTTCGCTCGTACTACCTCTTATAGGTGAGTCAAAGTTATTAGTGAATGAACAACTGCAGAAGACCGAGGAACTCCATTAAACGGCAGATATACTAGTATAGTTCGCGTCTACGTTTCTGAACTTAAGAAAATTACATAGTAGCGTTATTTTTTTACTATCGCTCAAATAGTAGACAATTTCTTATAAAGGCATGCACAGTGCGTGCGTTAGTTACTGCGAAGTTATGGCCATCAAGCGCATACGGCTCAAAGTAATATAACTGGAACGAAGCAGTTTGATTTAAGTGGTACTATATCTTCAATTTTGACTTCCCTGGACTAAGCAAAACCCAAGGCATCAAATTTGGTTCATCTCCGAGAGCGGTAGCTGAAGAGGAAAGCAAAGTACACATTTTGAGAACCCAAAGTTTTTTTATTCTTTTTCGGTATAACGTTATTATTTTTGATGACAGGAAAGCTGCACTACCGGTATAGTTCTTAGCCCCGAAACAGGATAGTGTTCAAGAACTCAAGAGAAAAAATTCCAAGACTCTTTTGTATATGATAAGTATTTTATCTACCAAATGCATAAAACATTTCTGTTATACATCTTTACAAACCGAAGATGAGCACTGACAAAGGGCTGCACGGAGAGATACAGACATTTAGTCTAAACTTTGCTATGAATATCACCATACTCGCCAGAAGCAATTTTCTTAAAGCATGTAGACTGCTATAAAAGAAGACTCATACATTCTTTTTTGTCAAAGAATCAATACGGTGTATTGTTTGGCTATTGTGAGAAGGATGAGGAAATCGTACTTACTGTTGATCGCAAGTTTCTAAGTGGATTTATTATAGATCTCAGGGTTCCAACCTTTTCAGGACAAGCCCAAGATTTATGATATATCGAGTTACAAGGTTTTTTTGAAAAGGCTTCATTTCTCACTGTTTTAGGGCGATACCTCTTGTTTACTATGTTTCTTGTTGGCATCTCCATCTTCCTTTCAGTGCTATCTCTTAATTACTATCGGAGGTAGTGCTCACGATTCCTGTTTTGGAATGTTCTAATTGTGTAGCCGTTTAACCGCACTCTCTATTTAGGGACGGCTCTGCACATCCGATGCCTCGCTGGATACAGATCGTATTCGTCGAAACATTGCCAAAGTACCTAGGAATCAAAAAAGCAGAGGAGGAGGAAATTAGCGATCGCGGAAGCATCGCAACGGGTTCGGGTCCGCTGGTGCATTTAGGCATCGTTATAGAATTCTGGCAAACAGCGATCATTAAGAGGTTGGTCAAACGTCGGATTCCTCGCGTCGACCTTCGCCCTACTTCCTGACCGTGCGAGGCAGTACGGATGTTGAAGAGAAGAATATTAGCAGAGGCGAGCTGAATAAAGTGAGTGAACGATTTTAGCTGCGTTTCCTATGATATTTGCTGTTTGCAGATGAGATTATCGCAGTTGGCACATCTGCGCGGATTGCATCCGGATTTGATCAGGAGAATGGTCGACAACGTGTCATTCATTGCTGATCACTTTCGAGCTATGAAAAAGGAAGACAAGGTAAACTGCAATCAGTGTCATTGCCAAAGGCCGCAGTCAAAAATGTCAACGAAAAAGCGGCCATAGCTTCAAATGCGTTTTGAAAAAGCACAAGATATATGGATTCTCCTACCATTACCTTTGCTCACAATGATGACACAAAAGCATCAATGAAAATAGGCTTTTAACTACCTTTTTCTCAGATATCTTCCGACTGGTCCTACGTAGCCAACGTGATTGACAGACTGGTACTCATAATTTTCACATTGGTCAATCTGACTGGAACTGTACTCATTATCCAGAACTCTCCCATGTTATTCGATCACACGCAACCTATGAAAATTGTATGTATCCCTGGTGAAGCTTCAAACCTTTTCTGTCCTGACTGTGTCTTTTAAGAGTGCTGCAACGAGGCCACTTTCCGGCGACACTTTCGAGAGTGCATTCGATGCCAATTTTACACAAGAGAGTTGGTGGAAGAACTCCGAAGGGCTTTGATGCTTCTTTTCTGATAAATGATGATCAGTCGATATTTATCCGGATTTCAGTCAAGGGGAGAGCAGCTGTTTACTATGTCTGCAAGCAGCTTGGAACGCTGCCGTGTCCACAAAGTTTACACTCAATTTGATAAAGAATGTATCTGGAATCTGGATAGTAAAACACAAAATGGGGACGAGTGGCTTACTGGTACTGAGTCGCCGCTATGACCAGATCGGACCAAGGTTTATCCCGCCTCTCGATCAAGCCTCTACCCTCCGCGGATGGTAAATAGGTACTGGAGTAACCCCTGAAAGGGTAAAAGCATTAACGGCATTTGGCTGGCCCGCGCAGGTCATTGTAGAGACTCGCACGCATTCAACTGCCTATTCGATTACGAAGTAGGATGTGTTTGGGCATGCCCGCTGAGGGTACTATACACCTCCTTAAAGGCAGTGGCTTAGCAAAATGGACCCCTGTCGCATTTTAGTGTGTAAGTAGTAGACCCCTCAAGTACGCTAAAGTAACCCGTGCGCTAAGACCTGAGAACGCACTTTAAATGCCCACCAGTCCCACTCACTTCAACAGTCGATGGCTGGTTTTGGAGCGTGTTTGCAGGACTTAGCGCATGAGTTGGAAGCAGGGCCAAGCGTGTTGATGCGATCGATCCTAGGCCCTCTTTTACGATCCCCCTTGAAGTACCCATCCGTACGACCTCCCCCCCCCCACACATGCCCCTCCCTCACCAACCCCCCCCCACCCCTCCCAACCAATAACAACCAAGAAAATTCAGCAGGGGAACGGCACACTTCAGCCATTATATTTAACTATTTTATAATAAATCATTTTCTAGTGACAGATAATAAACTCCTCTGCCGTTTATGAATGTTCGGCATAAGTCATTCATGTTTCAGTGGTACCGAAAGATACTGACAATGGTTCTGGATATTAGAACGTTTTAAACTGTAATGGTAGTCTCATGTTTCGTCCTCGTAAGCCACACTATTTTTTACAAGGAGGAAAAACGATATATTTGAAGCGCAAAACATGTTTTCGACTAAAAAGCATATTTCCTACCTTTTGCACATATTTTCCTGTAAAAAAACCGTTTTATCGCCATCCAGAGCGATGTCAAAAACGTGCATGAGCACGGTACTTTGAAAATTCGTGACTAAAGTCAGGAAAAGATTAGGAGGCTTCAATGAATAGGTTTTGTAGCATAGTGCCCAGACCTAGCAAATTAAGATGCGATCCTGCCAAAAACTGGGATTTTTGAGCTCAACATTCCTTAACTCATTGGAGGGGTGAGTAGCAAGTGGTACCCAGGCAGCCGACGCTGCCGTAGCCAGCCGCCAGAGCTGCCGGCAAAGCCGCTGCAGATGATACAGTAATTACGCTCGTCGTCTACTCTTGCCGAGAGGTTTTCTCGCACCTCGTCGCTCTGAGGTGCCAAATAAGCCTCAGGAAAGCGTGATGTCCTCGATATCTATATTATTTTAAACAGCAGAAAATTCATGTCTTTTGAGAATTATCCAAATAAAGAAAGGTAAACAGTTGAGAGCTTTTTGGAAGGAGAATGATCACTAATTCAAATCACTTCAAAAACTCAAAGGTAGCAGAAGCTGAAAAGTTCACAAATTTCTCAAATTTCTAAAGACTTTTTTCTCGCTTCTACGTCGAAGAATGGACGAGAACAACTACAAAAAATGTCGTGGATATAACGGTAAGAAAACACTGCCAAAATGATCATTTCACACATAGTGGTGTTTAGCGAGCTACTAAATAAGGCAAAGTAGGTAGAAATTTGAGAATTCCTAATTTTTTCAGCTTCTGCTTCCTTTGAGTTTTTGAAGTGTTTTGATTTTGTGGTCGTCTTCCTCTAGAAAAACTCTCCTCTGTTTACCTTTGTTTACTTGCATGTTTGTTGAAAAACATGAAATTTTTTGCTGTTCAAGATATAAATATCGAGGATATCACGCTTTCCTGAGGCTTATTTGGCGCCTCAGACCGACGAGGTATTAGAAAACCTCTCGGCAAGAGTTTTAGATGACGAGCGTAATTACTGTACCATCTGCAGCGGCTTTGCCGGCAGCTCTGACGGCTGGCTGCGGCAGCAGTCGGCTGCCCGGGTACCACTTGCACGCCTCCTCTCACACTGGAGACGCAACGAAACAGCCCGAAATTTCTAGGAAAGAAAGTAGGCGGATGGCGTCATAATACGCCAAGATTGCAGCGAGCAGGCCTCCATAGCGGCGAAAAAATTTAGATGCGACTCAGATACGACCCCTTTTTTCATTTTTTGTTGCCATATATAAAATTTTAAAAAAATCCACAGGCTATGAAATATAACCAGATTTTGCACAACTGTAGCAGAGCATCTCCAAAGTACAGGTAAAATGTATGGGCCCTTGAAAGACATAACAAAAAAGTTTCAAAATTATTGATGGTCATCGCTGGTAGAGATGAGCGCTTGCGCTTTTGTCGAGAGTGTGAGACTTCAGTGATGCTTCGGAACCAGGATTTCTAGGCCAATTGGTATTTAACATTCTTACACATAATGCCTAGTGTTTGAGCTTCTGCAAGTGTCTTTGGAATCTTCGTCATACTTGTGGCCAGCAAGTTCGATCCCCGTCTGCGACACCTTTTTTGCAGGGATTCCATACTTTTTTAATTCGGACCACCTCTCTTACGACCCCCCCCCCCCCCCCCCCACCACCGGTGCCCCTTTACGACCCCCGTTGCGACAGTCGCACCACACGCTTGACCCTGGTTGGAGGGTATTGGGGTACGGTGTATCGGGGGGGGGGGGGGGGGGAGGACGAGCCTTTGCCTGACACCACCAAAGTCTGAAGGGGGTTTAAATTGCCAAGCCATTGCCTAAACCTTTTATCCTATATAAATTATAAGATTTGCGGGGATCTGCCGTGGTTGGGAGCGAGTAAGCAATACTGCTTTCTCATGAAGTGCAACATCTAAAAACCTTCTTGCGCGAATCCGTGACTGCTGTTAGAAATATTCTGCGTTTCTCAGAGGCGACGAGTTCTGCCGGTGGTGGCCTACTTCTTACACCCTTATAAAAGTTGCCAAAAGTGTGTGTAAAAGGGCTCTGTACTCTGCTGCATCATGCACTCTTACCTACGCTGGTATGTCTTTGAGCATGTCGAAAAGTTCCAGCGTATTCTTCGCCTATGAAATTGTACACCCTCCTTTTCATGGTCAGCAAATGCGTAAATCTTGGTTGTCATCCTTGCAGAATCATGCAGTCATATTCATCTAACATTCAAAAACATAGACGCTCGTAGAAAGAGCACACGTCCGATGGAGCATCCGTGATCGCATGCATCAACATTCTCGCCGGAAAGAGCAGAGCTGGTCAGAGAAAGCTTCACTTCCCGAATTCGAAAGATATTCCTCAAAAGTCGCCTATCCCAAAACTACTATCCTTCATAATTGACATGGTGAACAACGCCTTCTTTACCGAATATCGAACAAAAGCGTATTGCCATGTAACCACGGCCTGCACAAGTCGGTTTATAAGGTTTCTAGAACGAAGTGCCCTTTGATTCAAAATCTAGAAGCTCACTTGCTGGCCTTCAGCCCGAACGCATTAACAACTTGAGAAGATTCAACTTTTTTGAATGAGCTTTATTGTAGACAAAATGCGACAGTGCGACTTTAATGGAAACACATGAACCTGAGGAGAGATCCGAAACCATTTCTTTAGGTGAATTTATTTGAAGCACAGAAGACTTTATTACATAAAAATCACTTGGAACATGAGAAAATGACTTAATTTTGTATCAAAATCAATTTTATTGTCGTAAAGTGCTTCATAATAGTGGATGAAAGCAAGTAGGATTGTGACATTGTTTAGAGCTGAGAAAATTTTTTGTCTGTTTTAGGTGCAGATGCTTGGTGGCCGTGCGGATGGCGGGAGCCGGAGTAGATCATTTAGCGTGGCGGAGAGCCCCGCCACCCCACCCCGGATCCAGCAGCATCCGGAGCAGTGGGGAGGGGGAGCTGCTGGTCCCACTTCCCTCGCCCCGAAAGCATCCTTCTCGCCTCGCCATCTGGGTTATAGTATTGATGGGGTGCTTGCCCCAAAAAATCGAATTTTAAAACATTGAGAGTAAATTCAAGAAATCACAATTAGTAAATCTTGAAACCATGTGAACTGTATATATGTATTAGCAAAGGGGAGTTTTGCTGATGAGATTGCCGATAGGATCTTTGATCCCGTAACTGACTCTTTTTTTACTTGGAGAGGAGAACGTCACTAAATAAGCAAGATATATTACTCACCAGTATTCTTCCCCTATCTTCTGCTCGCGAATGTCCTCCTGCGACTGATGAAAAAAAAGCCAGAGTAATGACTAGGTGGTGCTGCAAAAATCTTCGCTACTTTCTTAGTAGTTATTTCTAAGTGACATATGAGTAGAAATCTTGGCAATGAAACTAGAAGGTCATTTAATGAAAATGCGAATTTCGGAAGTCTGAGGTTAACGTAGAACCATGCGAGGAAAAATGAAGTTATTTCACAAGTTATGCTGAATAGTTTTTTTCTAGTTGTGTCTACCTTTTCACGATAGAAATGCGCGCCTACTAGTTAGTTCTCTTTCAAAACTGAAACGCTTGTGTGATTCTCAGAAGATTGGATTGATTACCACAGTTCCAAAACGATGGCTCGTTTCTTTCATATCAACAAATACTGCTATCAAGATTTTCAATAGATCTCTGGGGGGATTGTAAGGCGCGTCAACTTTGGATAGTTCACATATCACCCTATCCACTATATATTATTGGATTAAACTGCACAAAATATAATTGTATTTTGGCATGCAATTACGAAACTTTACGACAGGTTGATTAGCTACTATTCAGCCAAAACATTTGTGGGAAAGTAGTTTCAAACCTTTCTCTTGCACCAAAAATTTAGAATTTGCGGTCTTGATAGATGACAATTATGTCTTTATACGGCTAGCCTTCTAAGAAACCACTTTTTCAAACTTTCATTTTTAGCCTGTAATGTGTGCACCAGGGCTCGGCACGAGCTGGCACCAGGGAAATTTCGAAACGAAGTCCCGTTTGATCTTGTAAATTTGGTACGAAGTCCCCTTTGACCAGTTTTGAAGACAAGTCATTATTTTTGGATTCTGTAAAAGTATGTAGTAGGGTTTTCATGCACGCTGATTTCATGGAACCACTTTTCACAAATTTCTTAGCTTTTTATGTGATTGAATCACATGTTGAGAAGCAGAAAAAGCCGATTTTTCGATTGTGGAGCAGACTGATTAATCTTAAAATTGCTATAAAACGCTGAAAAGAAAACATTATGAAAATGTTTCTTCTCTGTATGTAAACTTTTACAGTATAGATACATTTTATGTAGAAAAGTATGAAAACTTATGTGAGCAAAGTGTCGGTGCCAGCTCAGCTGGCACCCAGCTGGCACGGTGCCAGCTAATTCAAAAAAAAGTTCGGCACGGCTTTCGCTCACATAAGTTTTCATAAATTTTTGGGCTATAGTTCCGGTCCACCAACGCGCATGCACACACCAAATTTAGTGTCATACTATTGCATTTCGACTGAGAACGAGGACTTTGTTTGTTGATGGACAGCATGCCGGTGGCATGCCGGCGGCATTCTTGCGGCACTTCTCCGCCGCGGACCCCGAAAAAAACGATATCCCCTTTGCTTCCCGCCCTAAAAACGATATGCAGCTTGACCCGGTGCCAGCTGTGCCGAGCCCTGGTGTGCACAGATGAGTTATTTGGTAATTAGATACATACAAGCTTTACCCGTATGGCCATTCACATGTAAATAGTGATAAGTCACATCGTTACAAACGATGTGGTACCAAATATGGAGTATGTCCGTAAGGCCCAGAGAAACAAAGTATGAAGTTACATCAAGAACTTCTTTGAATAAAAGCGTGGTTATTTTTTCGCAAACAAGGATATTAATGAGCGCACTTGAAAACTGTACTTGGGATCCTAAGACACTACCTAAGCGGCAGCGCAGATGGCTTGCTCGCGGTTGAGATATGCTCTCGTGACATTTTAGCCGCGCGTCGCGGCCGAAACGTCAAGAGCGCGTTTTGAACGCATTTTGAACATTTGAAAGCGGCACTGCGGCGCGACCAATGGAAAGATGGCAAAATTCGAAAGAGGCAAAAGCAGATTCATTTCTCAGTCCATTCACCACCCAAATGCCCGGCCCGGAAAACGACTTCACATTTTGACCAAGGAAATTGAGCTATCAGCCACTCACTCTCAAACACTCGGTCATGCTTCAGAAGATAGTGCTAATCGTTACTCAGACGTGAAGAAGGTTGTAACGCTGATTTGGGCGCCACGTGGCATAAAAATGAAGACGGTGCGCAGAACTACTTGGACCAAACGGCAGAAAAATCTCCTTCAAGTTTGCTCCAGGAAGTGCTTGAGTCTAGGTTTAGGTTTACGATGCTCAATACTGATGCAAAAAGCAGAACTTGGAATTAAATGCGTGGAACTGTCCGAGGGAGGAATGAATTTGCATTGAGCTATTTTCTGGATTACATTAAACAGTTTTGAAGTGCGGTCAGACAGGGTTTCAGCTAAGTGACGTAATATAATGTATATAAATCTCGTCCTGACATTGTGTGTATACAATGCATTAGAAAGATGTGGAACATTTTCAACTTTGAACCCCCTTTGCGTCAAGCGCTATATCGAGAATAGATGGACTTCATTACATAAAATAGTATGATAGGTCCTGCGAGGATCTGCCATCAAAAGTTCTTTGAAACGACAGCACAAGTTTTCTTTGTGGTGGTATAAAGAAGAATGCACGCAGCTCCTCAATTGTAAAGGATAGATTTTCATGGTTATCAAATTATTGAAAAAGGATTTTGTTAGAGTGTTGTATCGTTCAAATCAACTTGAAATAGAATCGAAATAGTGCTCTATTATCATCGGCTTACATTCATAATTCTCAGATTTGAAATTGCTTTCACTGCTCAATCGGTGAACTTTGCAAGAAATGATGATTTTATGACACCAAATTTGCGCAAACTTGAAAGCATAGATACGAAATGATGTTAATGAAGAAATTTAGTGGCACCAAACACTTACACACAAGTTTGGGTGCAGTTTTTTGTTTTGATTTGTCGTTCATGACGTTCAACCAAACAGTGCGTGACATAATCCGCTGTAGTTGAGCACAGCAGCGGGCATCCCCACAGCACCTGTACGAGTTCAGCGTTTTTCCCCGCCGTTAGTCACGAGACTGTTTTCCGTGGTCCTGCGATAATTCGAAGAAGTGCAACACGAGTCGACTGTGCAGTTCTGTGAGCTACTGTATAACAGCGGAAAACGTGCAAGTTCCGAGTTCAGTACGTCGTGCATAATAAGTAGCGCTAGGCCTATGAGTTAGACTCTAATCTGGAATTAACACAGTCCGAATTTCAGAATCAATAGCGGCCATTCGACTGCAAGTGCCATCAGTTTATCTTCTGTCTGGACTATGCTCTTAGCTTCTTGTGTTGTCAGATCTCATATTGCAATAAACGCCGGAGATGAGCAGGTTGCGTTTTCACCATTCTCTCCATTTTTGGTGAGTGTCGTACTTCGATGCCGAGTCATCTTCACAATCTGAATGTACTTTCAATACAGCTTCGGGCAATTCAATTACATTAAGCTAGTCGCTCTTCCACTGTGTGACTGAACCAAGTTGAAACTAATTTAATACTTTAATGTATGTTAATTGTTTTGTTTGAATTTCACCCTGATGTAGTAGAACGTCATGAAGTTCGCCAAGCTCCAAACTTATTCAGGCGAAAACTTCTATACCTACGGTTTGAAAAAATATATATATATATATCAGGGCATCTACAAAATGCTCAGATTTGAAGATAAAAAGAAAGCCTATTAATTTCTGATATGGCAGTAAACACGGAATGAGTTACATCAAGTTTTCGAATTCTCTCGCTTTGCACTGTTGAATGTCCATTATATTGACTTTAGTGAAACTTACTCCTTTAGGAAGGTTGGTAGAATGGGAAATAAGGGGTCCAGGAGTCGAGTAAGTGATCACGTCGCTATACCATGTTCATCAGCTCCGGTGCCAACCATAAAAGTTACTCGCTCTTCTCTGGAATGGCCCGACAGTCCAAAGCCCAATGCTCCACCGCCTACACCAATGTCCGAAAGGTAAATCAGAATCGCTACAGTTAAGTTTTGACCCATCCCTCTTGAATAGCTAGCTTGCACCAGGTTTGCCTCATATTCCTCTTAGAAGCTAAAGCTGTGCGGTTTTAACAACCGACCAGCTGTTAGAATTTCAGCTCACAAAAATCTTGCTTCATTCTCGACCTCAGCATTGTCTAGTCAAAAATTGCTTATGTACAATAAATAATACGCAATACGATAATTAATACGCTCTATGATGTCAAAATTCCAAAATACGCTGCTTCGTAGTAGCGTTGGTTCGTTCGCATGTACATTTGGAATACGATGTATGCTAATCGCTGGTTTCATCGTTCCAGAAGTATCGTTGCGGACAGTCACCTGCCAGCCGAACAGACTACTACTCCAATAGTGAACGGGTAAGTTAAAAAGTTTCTTTAGAAATTCGCGAATACGCCTTGACAAAAAAAAAAACAAGCTAACTGCTTATCCTGAGAGATCAACTGCAAAAAGAAGCAAATTGTATGTTGATAATTAGCAACGATAGCAATACCTAAATAACAAATCGATAACTTATGGGTAACATGGATAAATAAATTTATGGATAACCATTTGAATATCTATGCATTTTACCACCATGTTCGCTGAGGAAACACCTTACCGTCTGTGGACTGTTATCCGCATGCATTTGTTCACCATTTCTCAAAATTAATTAAACACATTGTTCTTTGATTACATGTTCTTGGTTTTCGCGACTAAGCTGGTAAGTTGGCGCGAAAGCCTCTGATTGCCTATTTAAAACGCATACATGTTTCAAATCATTTCATACTTTCAAGAACAATCCATTTCTTATTCATAGCCCAAAAGGAAAAAGATTGCTTGTTCTAAACACCGTCAAATAAGCCTAAAAAATGAGAACCTGACACAAAAATCTTTGAATCGCATTGCGAAAAGCTAATATAGCATGAAAGTTATGTTTTCATGAGTTGATTCGGTGGCTTGCCTAAAAAGTCTGTGCTCCAGACTCATTGTTCCAGTTAATTACCTTCGCAATCAAACTCGATCAAATCACTTTAATATTTTTGCAATTAAGCAAAATATTGTCGGGTTTTGTAGGGGGCAGCCAACATGAGTATACTAGCTTGTGCCAGCCATATGCATGCTATATTCACGCCTTGGAGATAATGAAAAATTTGGGGAAAACGCTGGCAGCTTAGAGGGCCGTAATCTTTACTTTTCGTCACCATTTTTGATCCAGCGAAGAACATATTGCTTCTAAAAGGGCGGCTACATGCACGACATGCGACAACGTCGTGGCTACATTATGCTTAATCCATCGCTCATCTTGGTATACACCCGGTTGTGTAATATCACGCTGATTAGATTTCATGGAATTTTCCTGAAGAACATCCTTTGCAGTCTATAAGAGTCTTTTCTATTACTATTTCGGTGATTAGCCTAAGGATATAAATCCAAAGAGAAAGTCGAAAAGTTGGAAGCTCAGTAATCAGGGTTCAACACGAGGGTGACAAATGATCTAAGCAACGATTCCGCCTTTGCCGCCTTAGAAATTTACGATTTCCCACTTGATCGCGCCAGCAGCATGCGTCGTTCAATTGGAGCGCGCTTTCCTCCTTGAGGACACCGGCCTCGTTATTACTTTAGGTTGCAGCAAAGAGGAGGCGTTGAGTTTTCAAAGCAAAATGTTACAATACAGTAGATTTTAGGTGTAGAACAGAGTTAAGTGGGAATTTCTTAAAACCTATGTGAATTTAAAGTTTTGCAGCCTTCAGGATGGCATTAGGGGGCAGCCCCAGTAAAAAATGTGCTTTGCGAACAGTCCATTCTTCCACTTTTACTAATGGAAATTTTTCGGAAAAAAAACTTGCTATAGGGCACTTGAGAAATCGTGACGATGGCGCGATCGCGCGCGACACGCACGCAAAGTCCGGCGACCGCACTTTCTTGGTTTTCATCTGTACTTATGTGGTTTTTGTGCTCACTATAATAGTATTCAGACAATGGCGTTTTGTATGAGTGTTTTAAGCCTATGTGGGCGCAAAGTCTGCAGTCAAATCCGTCGTCACGATTTCAAAAATGACCTATACCACCTTCACTCACATATTTTTTCACAACGATCTGCACTATGCTCCTCCCAGCGCTTGTCCGTATGCACCAAATTCAGAGTTATATCGTTATGTGCACGCTATAAAAGAGACAGTTACTTACAACCAAGAACGAAATTTGGATACTGAAGGTGACGCGCTAAGTTCATGTCTTTGCACATTAGTAGTGTAGCAATTTATTTAGGGGTTGAGTAGTGCATATGGACATGTAAATACCATATCCACTTTACTTTCTCCCAGAACGGTTCCCAGTTCAACATTTGCCACCCTCGTGCCGGGCTCTTTCAATAACTTTTCTGGAAGTGATCGTTTTTATTTTTGCAGCTACTGTGATTACGACGCAAGAGAGACGATGGTGCTAGCAGGTACTCCACCGCCAGATCGACCTCCACCACCCCCACCCGATGACGATGTGCCGTACGATGGCTTCGAAAACATGGTTTCAGTTCGTTTATGATTCTCTATGCGAATCTTCAATTTGCACTTAGCGCCTTCTCACAAATTACTTTCTGTTATAATATGCGTATTTACACAGTCGGGGTACTCGGATCAACTATTGCCTTCACTGCCACCTACGCCTGCACCAAGAACTGGCTTCCCCGTTATCAAAAGAAACATTATTTACGCAAAGGTATGGAAAACTTAGTCTTTGAAGTTTGCTGGAAAGTTTTATCAGCGCCTTACTATGTAGGACCGGATTGCAAAGTTTGACCCACTGAGTACTGTAGAACGTCAGAAGAATTACAAAGATTCAAGGCGAAGCGATGCGTATTCCACTGATACTGGAAAGATGTCTTTTCCTTCGAAATACACTCCGTTGACAGAATCCAGCACGGCCACAGTTACCGTAAGGCTATCACATATTTAGCATTTTAATACCAAACACTCCCATTCTAGTCGACGACCTACGATGAATACCCTATTTACAATCCTGTGATTGACTACAACTTCAAAACTGGCATGTCATTTCAGCAGGGAGTATTCCCAATCGATACTGTATGTTTCTTTTTCAAAGTTTATTTAAGTATATTTCAAACGGTGCATTTGCAGACACGCACAAACATCGGATTTTGTGGAAGACAGGGATCTGGCAAATCCTCGCTTATCAATGCATTGAGAGGTCTAACAATGTCCGATCCGCAAGCAGCAGGTCGGACGGCTTGCACACAGATGGAGCCTTACAGGTCCTTGTCGTAGAACTTCCTGTAATGTTTACTATAATATTAGACATCCTATAAAAGATCTGTCCAGAAAGCGTAAAATATCAGGGAAACATCTGACAAGGGAAAGGTCAGAAGTCGAAATCGCCAATTCAAACAGTATCATTCCATTCGATGCAGCATAGAACGCTGACTCGAAATCTGTCTTCCTAATCTGCAGAACGCCTTTGTAGGCGAAGTGTGTATAAAAATGCGAAGTTAAGCTTACTATTTCCCGTTTGGCTCACGTTTAGGTATGGGTCACTTGAAGTAACTTAGCCGGATGTTCTATAAGATTAAGACATGGCTCTGTACTTCCAAATTTGCCTTTACACGCACGATTTCTTGACAGAACGATGACCTCCAACGGCTTATAATTTCATACACAAAAGTGCTTTGCAGATAAGGAAGGCAGATTTCGAGTAAGCGTTTTATGCTGCATCTAATGTTTTGCAGCTTGCTTGGATTGGCCACTTTGAATTCTGACCATCTCCTTGTGAGTTTGTCAGCCTTTGATGTTTGGAAACTCCTACCAAAAAATTTCTGAGCCTCAACGACAAAACGACCATTATGTATCAACTAGCCCATTTATAGTTCATTCGTTATTGTTGAAACAGTTTTCTATGTTGCAGAACAGCATTGCCTCTAGGGATTACAATTTTAGATTTATGGAAGAGGAGCTGCAGCATATTGTATTGTGGGAGATACCGTACCCACGAGCGTTTGCATCCGTTACCGATGTTTACGATAGGAACATGCGTTTTGAACGATTGTACGAGTGAGTTCTTCTGTGCGTTTAGAAGATGACTTGTAAGGATGCGATGGTCCTCACCAGAACTATAGAAACAACGGTCTATGTACCATTCAGAAAGCTAAAGCGAATCTTTCCATAGAAAATGACTTTCACTATATCTTCAGCTTTCAATCATCCTTGCTCAGAAGTAGAAATGGCAGAAATCGAGCTAACACTTCTTCAGTTTTAGGAAAGCATCAAAGGTGACTATCACGACGTTGTAATTTTAGATCTCACAAGCTAAATCTGTTTCGTCACATCTTTTTGCTTGTGGCTGATGGAGCTCCTCATGACGACGATATTTCCATTGCAAAAATCATTCATTCACGGTGCGTAAAAATTTTATATCATTTGTTAACTGAACCTAGCCTAGCGAAGATTTCATGACCCCCACCGCTGCAGTTTTTTACAACAAGTTCTATTCAGTTTTAGACGAACTCCGCTTACGATGCTTCTCACGAAGGCCGACGACGATCTTGACGCTGAGTCAAGAGAAATGGGCCGCTCTATTGATACCTCGCTAAGAAACGAATACGAATCGAGAGGTCTAGTTCATTGAGAGTTCTTTCATGTCCTAGACATTTTTTTCAGCTCGCAACGTCTTTATGAAGTCGTTGATGACTAAGGCGCAAATACTTACCTCAACGGAGCTGCTCATAATTAGTAGCCCTGTTGTTAAGAATCTAGTCAGTGGAACTATAGGGTGAGTAATTTTAAACATCTCTAGACTAGTTGTGGATGATTTTTGAAAATTTCAGTTATTTGCATTACAAAATTGACGAGGACAAACTGCTGGAACTGGTGAACATTCGCCCTGGATGCCATTATAGTTTAGAAAATAAGCTAAGAAAGAATGTAAGCAATTATTATCGTCCGCACTCACACTCACAAAAAAAGTTTTTGGAGCCTTGATTATGATGGGAAATATTATCCCAAAAGATTGGAGAAAAGCTGTTTCTGTACTCTCTCTCGTGCTTGAGCTGCATAAAAAATTCTTCTATAAATGAGGAAAGTTCTTTTCAGCGAAACTTACCCAACTTACAGACTTATTCTGATATTCAGTAATGTAAACAACCATAAATCTTAAATCTAAATTTCTTCTTTGCATTTCGTTACGTTTTTTAAATTTGTGTTCTTTCCCTCAAAGATTGGGTTGAACATATTTTTGGTATAAAAAGGCCATGCTAATCAAAAAGCATTATCTAGCTATTTAAGAGAGAAGAAGCGGAGCACATCCGAAACAATAATGCCTTGGATCGCACTGGCAAGGATCTTCCCCATTCGGTAACGCATCCTCGGCTTACGCTAACCCTTGACCTCACCTTTCCAGAGGAAATCATCGAGTGATCGCACGCCGGCCTTGTTCCATCCTCGCCATATTGAAAAATCTACCGTACTGGCCGATGCCGGCTTCGAAATACTGTACGGAACAGATGATCGGGTTTTCGGTAATCTTGAACCAAAGTCGACAGCTCGCCGGGCAGGCAGGGTATGTCCTAGGGAAGCTGGACCCAACCTTCAATTCAAATTTCCCCGTTTATTTCAGACAGCGCTAAACTATGGTTTTATTGGTGGATCAGGTGTTGGGAAGTCGGCGGTGATAAATGCAATGAGAGGAATGTCTATCAAACATCCGCTCGCTGCTGGAAAGGTGAGCTACGGCTTTCGGAACTTCCGGGGCAGCTGCTCAAACAGCAGAACCAGAGGTACAGATAGGCATTTGTTACGTAATTGGGGGTGCTCTCGTCGGACCAATTGACTCTCCACTAATATCAAATTGGTTCTTATGATTTCTGCTTTTCACGATTAGTTCCACCTAAATATGAAAGATAAAGCTTTCAAAATTCAATTATTTGGACAAAACTGGAGACAACTGAACATTGTGGGAGATGTATGTAGTAAAATTTCTCTTCTCTTCAAACCAAGAATAAACACCAACATAATCAGGCTCAAAAAAAAAACAGCAGTCGATGTAGCTGTCCAAAAATATCCAACCACAATGTTTCTTCTTCTCTAACTAGGTGAGCTATTTAGAAACGTGCAAAACGTGGCCAATGCGAACGCTTTGAGTTTGATGATGAAATTCTCAAATACGGCGTAACTCTGTGGGAGCTTCATTACCCGAAGAAGATTAGCGCTTACTTTGAATTTATCGAGTAAGTTGTCTTAGATGTGTCACCAATGAGTAAAACTGATGGACTAATGTTCCTCTTTAGTCGTCACAGAGTGGCCAGTTTCACCGCCCTATTCGTTCTCATCGAAGGCACACCTTCGGACGAAGATCTCTCATTCTCGAAGATTGCGTATCGCAGAAACGCTTCGATAGTGTTCTTATCGTCCAAAAGTGATCGTAAGTTAGACGCGCGAAGTCGCAGTGATGAAATTCCTGTGTGCGACCTTCTGAAGCAGCGTTTCGTCGACAAAGGTTAGTACAGCTATGGCCTACTGCCGGAGGGAGACGGCTGTCCAATTGAGCTGAGCGGGTGCGAAAGCGGCGCGCGGCGGCCGGTGGGATGCTGTAGTGTGTGTTCCGAGAAGCTTCCTATAGGAATAGGGCATACATAAAATCGTGACGACGGCGGCGTCTGCGTGCGTCGCATACGCAGTTTCGGCAACGGCATTTTCTATTTTCTTGGTTTTCATCTTTACTTGAATCGTCTTTATGCTTGTATATGATAGCGTTTGGATGCCAGGAAGTGAATGAGCAGAGAAGTAGTGCCTTTTGTTTGAGTGATTTACGTTTTTGTGTTGTTTGAATCGGCGCGAAAGCCGCAGGCGAACTCATCGTCACAATTTTACGAAGTGCCTAGAACCGCGACGCGCATGCAACGCAGACATAAACTGCCGTCATCCAATGACATGATCTAGAGATACGTTCCCCCTTTCATTCATTCTTCTTGCGTGCAAAGCCTTGCGTACTGGCGTCTGAGCATGGCCATTACAAACATAGTTCCACACAGATTTAAGGCCGGTGCTCACCTGAGACTGAAAATCACAAACACTTTGGCAATGTCCCTGATTTTGATTGTGCGGGCCTGCGCACGTGTTAGAGCGTCCTCCAGATAGATCACTGCCAAATTCTGTCTCGATTCGGCACTCCATACTCAAAAAATTCGCACTCAAAGTGGCCCACAAGGGCGATTTGGCTTGCGCTGGCCGGCTAGCCGGCTTTCTTTCGTGTCTTAACACGTCCATTTAGGCGGTGACCTCCACAGAGAGGACTTGATATGCAAAAATTCCGACATCTAAATTCTGTGAGACACTGCCTTCAAACATCATTAAATACTTATTCTGTTACTATGCATTTATATAGAACGGGAGTTATAAAAATGAAAAAACATCTACAAGGAATAACGTAACGACTATAAACAGAAAACCTTTCATTGGTCCCGTGAGCATTCCGAAGGCAGCCTCACCGCACCTTGGGTTTGCCGTCGCACATGAAACTTAGCCGGGTGCACAATATAGAGTTTGTGTCAATTACAAAGTTTTTTTTGCGTAGGAACCACGCACACGCAACGCGACGGCCTTGCGCGCGGACATCCGATTGATGATTACACGTTGGTGACCCAAAAGTAAGTACAAACTTTTTAATCGTTCATAACTGTCTTCCCACTAACAATCAGTCTTTTCCTTAGCTTTAGGCACCATTCAATAGAGGAGGCTTCAACTCAAACTAACGGTATGGTTTGCATTACCCATCTTCGTTACTGTAGGATTACTGTAAAACCTCCAGAATTGAGCGTTTGAACAAAAAATTCCAAAAAAAAACCCTGGAAAGTTGTGTAGCAGTAGCAGTGTTTTCAGACATGCTGACCTCGTCAAACTACTATTTTTGAGTTTTTAGGAGTTTCAAATGGTCCGATCACATTTTCGAAAAACAGAAAAGCGTCAATATGGTTTACTTGACATAATTTAGAAAAAAAGCCTTACAATAGCCTGCAGTGTGAGCTTATGCTGATGATCAGCGACTTAGTTTAGCTTAATGATAGGGTTTTCGGCTCGTTGAGCATCTATTCTCGGGCAATATGTAACTACTGTGGTCCAAATGCTCTTGAAAGTTACTGTGATTCCACACTAACAAAGGAAGATGGGTAATTCATTCCATACCGTGAATCTAAGTTGAAGCCTCCTCTACTGAATGGAGTTTAAAGTCAAGGAAAAGACTCAGGAGGAACAGAGTTATGAACAATTAAATAGTGTACTTACTTTTGGGACACCCTGTACGCCCGAGACAAACGCGCGCGATGGATGTAATGCACGGTTCCGGCTGGCGATTGTGGATGGGAGAGGTAGCACGCGATTGACATAGCCTGTACCATCATTTTGGCTCTGTGTCTCGTGCGCCCTCTAGGCAGTACCGCAATCGCAACCGCCTTGCTTCTATGGGCCAACCGTCTTCGCCATGCACTAGATCTTGTTCCCACAGAACTCTGCTAGAATTTGCAATTCCAGGATTGGCTCGATTCGACGCAACACTCGCGGCAAGTGCACCGGAGCTGTGTGGAAGGGTGCACATCTTCTTTGTTAGCGCACCTGCATTCCGAGCGTTAAGGAATGGTAAGAACTGTCATGTAAAGATGGCGCGCGGAGTGAACGTACCTAATAACATACCGCTTGCGCCTCCTTTATCGTAGCGCCCTCTCATCGCATCTTCTGCGCTTTTTCACATGGAGATTCTATCTACTGTGTTGGCAACGACACTCGATCCGCGCGTTCAAGGACTCATATATAGCTCAGTAGATCCGGCAGATAATACAGTGTACTTGCGCTGCCTGCAACACTTGCGCGTAAAAATGGCTATAGAGTGCAGTTCTTGAGAATGTATCTTCAAGGTCGTTTTTATTAGCAAGTACAATACCGCTCACATTTTTTGAAAAAAAAGACGCGAATGTCGCATCATATATGAACATCACTGTCGCGTGGCCATATCTCGCTTCAGAGTGGACGAATTCTGCAAAAGCCATCATTCGACTCAGCTCGGCGCGGCGCATCTTGTGATATATAGAAGTTTCCTTTTGGACACAGAAGGAGGTCAGATTCCACGAATCGTTTCAGATTTTTGCTAACGGTAAGTTACTCAGTGTGCTTATTCATTGCACCCACTGAGCAACCTACCGTAAGCAAAGATCTGAAACGATTCGTGGAATCTGACCTACTGTGTCCAAGTGGAAACTTCTATATATCAGAAGATGCGCCGCGCCGAGCTGAGTCGAATGGTGGCTTTAGATGCAGAATTCGTCCACTCTGAAGCGAGATATGACCACGCGACGTTGATGTTCAAACATGATGCGACATTCGCGTCTTTTAAAAAAAAATGTGAGCGGTATTGTATATCTTCATAACGCATGACGAGTGAGCAAGAAACAGTTTCAAACCTAGAATATATTGAAAAATCACGTCATGTTGTAATTTATAATCGACTGCCGGACTAGTACACCTTTATGTGGATGATTGTGCTGTTACACCGTTTGCATTCTCCTCAACGACCGCTAAATTGAATTACGTCTGTAAACGCCTAGATTTGTCTCAGTATAAAGTTTCTTTGGAACTTCAGGTGATGCTCACGGAATGCAATATATCTTACATGAACGAGCTGTGTTCGACTTTTTGAAGCAGAAACGCATCGTAGCCGATCTACTCGACTCACCGGAGGAGTACAAGGAGGGCTTGCATGCGAACGTTAACTATGACACAGCTGGAGTAACAGTAGATAACTCTTAGTACGCGATTTTTTTCCTGTCCATTTTCTCTCGACATTCATAGAGAAACCGTTTATGTTGTGTTTGGTACGCTAGCTTTAATATCTATGATTACATATATACGATTATTACTATTTGTCATTAGCATCGTATTTTGACATTCATTTCATGATTCATAATTTATAATGAATTGATCGAAAATTATTTGTGCATAGGCAGCTAATATTTCATAGGATCATTTATTATTTCTAGCTTAACAGAAGATTCTATTTATTGGTATGCATCAGTATCTGCTCACTTGTTTATTTTGTATGGAAATCTTGCATGCAATATCGCAGCATTGAGAACGCAACTGAGTGTAGGTGTCTGTCGTATTATGTAATCTAGATAAATCCGTAGACCATTACTGCGTGTACATGGCCGAAAAACTGCGTCTCAGAACCATCCGATGAGTGTTGTTGATTTGCTTGATAACGCAGCTGCTCGATTTATCAACAGAAGTTCCTTACACAAGTAATTCAACGTTAAATGCTTGGATGGTACTTTGGTTCCCACGCAGATACTCGAGGTTTTCAGACGATCTGAGCATGTTATCCGATGTCTCTTAAGACATCGAATCTCCGTAGCGTAGATGGTCTCGATGGACGAATGTGTCATACTGTAGCTGCACGACAGTATATAGAAACGCGACGCGGTTTCAATACCGCAGAGCGCATGAGGCGCAGGTTCTGCAAAGGAAGATGCGCGGGCGGATGCGTTCGCTCCCGCTTAACTAGTATCGCTTCTGTGCCTTCGTCCGGTAGTAGCCTTCACATAGGTACTGCAACTCCTCTCGTGATAACATGCGTTGCGCAAGCCGTGGCCATCATGTACATTTAATTGCGATAACTTGGATATCGAAGTGGCCAGCGCATATGTAAGATTAGAACTCTGGGCCACATATGTATGGCACTTATGACAGGAGTAAACCTAGCAGCATTGCGAAATACCGCGATAGCAATGTTGAAGTTCCTCTCATGTCTGAGTTCTGGCGGAAACTTTTGGGGAACTTTCCGAGAATTTCTTTGGGAAATTTCTGCCTGCGTCGCTCTTAATGCCACTGTTCTTGGGAAGTTCCCATTTTTGCGCCTCCATTCAGCCTAGTATTGATTGAAGCTCTCGGGAAGTTTGGCAAATCAATTCTTTCTCAGGAAGTTCCCGTGATTTACTGAAGGGGCACAGCGCGAGAAGCTCGGAGGCAAGAAATAAAATAGCTTTTCCACTGAATTTACCACAGGCTATTGTTTGCCGAAAGAATTAATGAAAAGGTTGTTCTTGATTCTGTCCAATACTTCATTTTAACTTGTCCAATTACCGTACGCCTACGATAATCTCTTAAATTCTCTTCTCATTTTACTCATCTACTCCATTGGAAGTGTACTGGAAGTTTGCTTGCCATTTTCACAAACGCAATCGATCAATCTTGACATATGCAAAAATACCGTAGACAGTGATTCAGTAAATCAATCGTATGATGCAATGATGATTTGAAAGACCAAAATAGCGTTCCAAACATTGATAAAGTTGATTTCTCATGCGTCACGCTCTTCTCCACTTCAACTAAAATAGAGAAGGCATTCGCTTTCTTTGGAAAAGCAAAGGTTATATGGCGCAACTAAAATCAGTCTAGAACATTGAGTGATCCTATAGGAGATAACAAGACAATGCTAATTTTTTACTTTCAGATTGAGTCCGCAGAGTCATACTAAGCATAACCTTGGGGGTCTATAGATGTTGCATCTTATTACATCAATCGCTTCAGACGTAATAAATGCGATGTATTGGACAGAGCAAGAAAAGAAGACAAAGTGTGAAGCATTTACTGATTTTACAAGTGTCTTTTCTTCCTGGACAAATTAAAGAATGACGTTTCTATTCATGTCTACGTAACTACTTGAACAGGTTCCTAATTTCATAGCTCACAATCCATATTTTCGCCTTTAACAAGCTAACGATACGTATCAATCCCAAAGAAAAAAGTACGTGTATTGCTGCCTACTTCTGGAGATTTTGGAGCTGTTAAGTGAAAGTAGTTATGACAGATTTCAGTCGTTATCGCAGTAGGCAAACGGATATTTTTCTTTAGATGGGATGTGAGTTCATTGCAATCGTTTGCAGTCCTAGACATGACCACTTATTCTTTTTGCAAATTTTGGGTTCTCCTTTTCTTGAGCAATCCTAGACTATGCTTCTAACTTAGAAGAAAAGAGACACAAAAATGCGGTTAATTTGTTAATCACCTCCTTCTAGACTTCTGTTTTATCCTCATAATTTGTGTCGGGGCAGTTCCGAAAGGCTGACTGTGGTGACCAAGGTTTCAAATATAAATCAGGAAAACAATCCACACCTGATTGATATTTTTCTACTTAGCCTGATTGTTTTTGAGCAGGAAACTACCTTAGGTTGGATGTACATGTCAAATCGACTTACACAAGATCTTATCGTGATCGAGTTGGTGATCGCCTGTGACAGTCTGCTTCCCTTGGCATATCCATCCATAATTATCTTGTAATCGTGAGCAGCATCTCAGAATTATGATAAATGCTAGTGTGAAGAGTGTGATCTGAAAGTGTTCGAATGACACTCATATGACCACTTTTTCTAATTTCTATGAAGTCTTGCTCAAATGTTTTTGCTCGAGATAATCGTAGTAGGTTGACTTACGTTTGATGCTTGAGCGTAATCAAAAGTTCAGGCTTCACCAAAAAGCGACAGATGCCGCCCATCCCTCAAGTCTGTCCACGTTAAACAAACTTTAAACTGTGCTCTGATCAATTGTCCGTTGTCTTGCTGCCGACGGCAATTAGCGCACAAACTTCTGTCGCTTGGATAGCGAAATCAATTCGCCTGCCAAGACATAATGCTTTCTCCGAGTACCGTAGCTGACGCGAGACATGCGGCTTTCTGTAACTGCTCGGCTTCACCGCTTATTCCAGCATTTTCTTTTTTTACCACCTTTGTAATGAAAGAGTCTATGTTAGGTCAGCATAAAGCGCTTGCAGATGCTTTGTAGCTAAAAGGAAAAATTTCTCTTGCAGAGAGAAGCTGAAAATGCAAAAAATTTCGGTGAACAAACAGATTTTCCGACTTTAGAATCGCTTGCTTCGACGTAGGTAGGAGCTTATAACTGCAGACCTACTACCAGCACGAGTGAAGCAGCCCTTTCTATTTTTTCATCATCTGCATTCTTTTAAGTTCATGGGGAGGATAAGAATGAAAGATAACCAAAACATCAACTCTATGTGGCCAATTGGAAGAATAAGTAAATATCTCCCCCTCTCAACTTTATTCAATTTTGGCATTGTAACTGCTTCACAATGTTTGCTTTTGGTCGGACATGATTTTATTGATCACAGAGACTAAAAATATCTTGTCCTCAAAAAATGAAGCAGCTCTCGCTACGGAAGCTGCATCTTGTAATGTTTCTTCCCACGAAGATTTGAGTCATTCGACAGCGATTAACGCATCAGAAAGATGATCTCGTTACAAAGCAATCAAAGTAGCCGCCAAAGCGTCAGAAAGCGTATGTTAATTAAGCGGTAGCAGCGAATAGTCTTTGCCGGAAAACAGCTGAGATTGAATATGGTAATGAGGCCATCGCTCACCGTTTTCTCCATATCTTTCTCCATATACGTGTTCGTTGATGGAGCTGTTCATTATGGGTGGTAGTATTCACCTCATTTTGCTTCATCACTCTTATCGTCGAGAATTTTAGTGCCTTGAATTGGCCACTGCGCCGGCGACGAGCCCGGGGCCCCGTCGGTAGCGGTACTGTTTGTTGGGCCACCCGTAGGCAGACGCAGTGCTGACTGATTGGGCGCCATATAAATCTTGAATCCTCAACGCGGAGATGTTTCTCCTAACGCAGCTGCAATTCACATTGAGAATGATATTGAGATTAGCTCATTGTTTTCTTTCGCCGGCAATCCGTCCAGCACATCGCACGCTTTCGATTCCATTCGCGATTCAGTCGATTTTCTCAGTTTTATTACGGTCTAACTAGTGACTTGCGTGACTACTATAAAACTCTCTTGAGCCTTTTTTCGTTTCCATCAAAAACTCTACAAATTTCCCTTTTGAGTGAGTACTCTAAGAAAGTTTTCCTTGATGTTGCCGCATTTCTCTCAATGCGGGCCATGCCTATTGGCCAGATGGATGCCACTAATAGGCGCAAGTGACAATCCGGGAAGAATCCGAGACAAGGGTTGTCATTTGTCAATCATTGTAAATACTGCAGGTAATGCAGCGGCAGCTGAGAAAGGCTTTTTTTTGCCGCTGTGTTCACGACTTCACTCTTCTCTTGAGGTGTTGTTTTTCTTTACGAGTTGACATTACATTTGTTTCTGAGGTTTTTCCCAGGAAAACACATGGAGAACGCAGTCTTTTTTTTCTGTGAGCTTTTAGAGAATTAAGTTCTCCATTTCGAAAGCATTGCTACATTACCAGTTTGTAAAGGTGTGCTGTAGAACAAGACCGCATTAACAAGCTTATGGCCACTTCTTTTGACTAAAACTTGGTAGAGGTAGAAAAACCACGCATGTTAGTTATTTTACGTTTTTGAAAATTCTTTGCTTAGTGCACGATTTAGATATCACTACACATCAGTTTTTGTGCGTAAGGATAGAAAAGAGAGAAGTAGAAGATCGTTTCTGGACTAATTGACATGCACGAACTTCTGACGGGAAGTGTCTGTAATTTCCCTGAGATAATGCTGTTATCCAGATTTTTCGTGGATCCAAGCATTCTGCAAATTCCGCTGGTGTTAAAGCGCATCGCACTAAGCGCATGCGAACTACGGTATGTGCAATATGAGCAAGCAGTAATTACGAGCAGCTTGACGGAGCAATAGCCGCGTCAGGGGCGGGGCAGGGCCTCTCTTAGTTATCACAGTGCGACGCCATTCGACAACATTTTATACAAAGGTGTCTCAGCGATTGCGCTTTTGATGTCGTGTCCGAGCTCGAGAAAATCCTTCCAAATCCTCCTCCAGCTTGTTCGCTTGCTCTTGTCGCTTGATATTGATGATTGTGATGATTGCGCAATCGATGGGTTCATTTTGACGCGGCGACGATGATGCTCCGAAATGGCTAGCCATTCAGAAGTAATTCGAACACTCATTACCACTGATGGAATGGTCAACTGGGCTTGGCGTCGCTTTAATTATCAGTAATTGCCCTGAAAATATTATTACTTCCACCGTATGCTATGTTGACAATTGGCAATTCTTAACGTTTCCTTGAATGAAATGAGACTCGTTGCTCTTTTCATATGTCAGCTTTGTTCCAACCCTGGTTCTGATACATATTATCCAAGTTTCCTCATTGAAGATTCCCTCCAGAAAACTATTCAAGGTTCAAAACCCCAATTTCTACCGTAAAACTTGTTGTTGTGCGAATTGTCAGGCCATTTATTCGCAGACATTCGCAATCTTCTAACGTTCTGCTTTGCGCCTAGTTGAGGAAATGATCAAAATGAGACAATATTAGAGCAGACTAGGAATTCATTCTCAACGCTTAATTGGTTAGAGATGCTGATAGGCAGCTGGCGCATCACCGTAACCATTGTTTGCCATGCAATTTACGCGCTGATTTTCTCAGATTGCACATTGCCCAATGCGCCTCCTCTACGGGGCCCTCTGCCCATTAATTAGCAGGTCAAATGCAATTGAGATACTGTAGCAATCTCAACTTCCTCTCAATTCTTTTTATTGCACAACAGCCCAGAACTTCTCCTCCAGCTTTTTTTTTCGCTTATGCCAACTTACTTAGTGTTCACCAACCTCCTTTCCAGGATGGTATCCATCGAGGGAGAAAAGCGGCCGTCACCGTTCAGTGTCGAAAGCATATTAGAACGAAAAGATGATATACTCAAGCCTCTCCCGATGGCGCCATCCGCGGCAGCTACAGTCGTGCCAATGACACCCTATCCGGTGAGGCTCTCACATCCATTCGAGACGGCGATGCTCTTCTTTGGCCAGCCCAGGTTTGTTGATTTTATGAGCCTATCACGTTATTCGTTTCTAGCTGCTGCAAATGGAGGGTTTTAAGCGCGAGGGAAGAAGGGGGAGGGAGATGGGGGAGAGGTACATTCAAAGACTACTTGTCGGTCACTACTTCAAATCTAGCAATCATAAGTTATCCAATGGGCCTAAATCTCTTCTGGAAGGTTGATTTAAAGAAGCGTCGAAGGAGAATTGGCTACAGCGCAGATTCAGACAATTTACAGTTTTTGTTGTACCTCAAGCACTAAAGTACTTTTAAGCAGTCAAATCATATCTATTCGCAAAATTCTGTCAAGATTTTGTATGTGCACTGTGTTAGGACCAAGTTCAGCGTTGATATGAGGGACAAGTGTTGAGGCTTCTTCGATTTCTGCCTGATAAAGTTATTTTCACAAAATAACAAGTAATCCCTATTTACAGTAGTTAGGAAGCTAATTGCTTTGGGAAGATTTGTGTGGGCCACTCTTATAAAACGAAAACGAACGTGATCATCCAAATCTGACTTTATATCATCAGTTCTGGTTTCAAAATTTATCTCGTCTCATTTTCACCTTTTTAGATTACCAGCCCCACTGTCCGATAGTTCCCCAGAATCTATCGTGTTTTCGCCACATTCCATTTCCTCTTCGCAATGGATGAAATCATCTCCAAGCACGCAAAGCACCCCTCCTTGTAAGTTTCACAAGCAAACATTCTATCGCAAAAAAATTCATTTACCTATCGCCAAATTTAGTGAATGAAGATGCAAAAATCCAAATGGGCCTGAACAAATGCATGCTTCGAAAGCACAAGAACAACAGAAAACCGCGAACACCGTTCAGCACGCAGCAGCTCCTTTCCCTCGAGAGGAAGTTCCAACAAAAGCAGTACTTGAGCATAGCTGAGCGGGCCGAGTTCAGCGCTTCACTGCAACTGACTGAAACGCAAGTGAAGATTTGGTTCCAGGTATGTGTACTGTCCGAGTTCTCGTTGTTTACTTTTGCCCATGTCGCACTTCTCTGATCTCTATCGCCGTTCTAATTATATGCTGTCCTATAATTATATGGAGCTTTGATTTATCCTGTCACAGCGGTACGGTGGCGTGACAGTAAACGAATAGGCGCGTTAACACATCCACGTATCTCGGGAGTGCGCAAGAATTCTCATCTTCTGGGGGATATCAGAAATCTCAAAGTTTCGATAAAATCTACAGTTTTTACTTATGTAAGAAAATGCAGCAAACTAACGGGATTTATCCTGATCTAATTCGTTTTATAATGCATAAGTATTTGATAGTTAGTTGCGGGTTACGGTATGATGGCCTCTCTCCATTTTGATTCTCCAGATATCTCAGCAAGGCAAAATGTCAATAAACAGTCAGAAAAACTTGACTGAACTGGATATTTATTGTAAGAACAGAGGCATCAAGCTTGAAACAAATGTTTTCACAGGAAGGTACTCTTTCATTTCCTCCACGGGAAGCATCTCTCATTTTTTCATTTTTTTTGCAAAAGGAGCAGAGTTTAAGAAGCATTCTATAATACAATCAAAGCATTTGTGTGGAAAAGTCAATTCCAGTCCTTTGCATTCACATCCGACGGCATCCTATTGCCAAATAATTTTACTTGAATTAGTCCAAACGCATTTAGACAGAGTAAGCTGGAGCTAGTTTATGAGCGACGTTTAATTCTATCATTCTCTTCACTGAAAATACTCATGCGGCGCCAGATGGTGACCGTAGTCCAAAGCCTTCCTTTGTTATCACAATATTTGGCGCTCGCAACGCAACAATTGCTCGTAGTTAGAGATAAAATTGAAGGCGATCGAGAATTAATTAAATGAGGAACTCTTATAACACATTTTCTAAAATAATTTCTGATAAAACCGATTGTCATAGTTATCTTCAGCAAAGGAAAATTCTTGCTTTTCTGCATCTAACCGAAAATTAGTCTTTTAGCAAATTGACCAGCGGATCAGTTTCTTCATATAAAATCGCTCGACCGTGCTTACCCATCATTCAGCATTGTTAACGAGCAACTAATAGTTTTTGTCGAGTCATAATCGGGCCATTCATCATCCTCTCATTCCCACACATCTGCTCTCCTCTTTACTGATTTACAGTCATTGGGATGCGCTTCACGGTTCGCTTCTACACATTATTACTTGGAAATTTATTGTTTAATGAGCTGAAAGTCATCGCATCTCCCAAATTGGATTACGGTAATAGAGTAATTGAGAATTGGAAAGCCGACTGGTACAAAGTACGCGATGACGGCCACTTTATTTCTTACACTAATATATTCGGAGATAAATTGCTGAAAGACGCTCTATGCCCCCAGCTGTGTGCGTTGCTTTACTCGAACGAGAATGAAGGTGAAATTCCTCGGCTGCGTAATTTCGTCGCGATGATAGACCTTCAGTGGCGCAAACAAAACCCGCAGGGATAATGGAGTATGGGGGAAAAATCGCTCGGCTCCTCCTTATGGCTGCAATGGATGAAGTTTCAGAATCGCCGAGCCAAGTCGAAGCGGCTCCAGGAGGCAGAGGTGGAGAAGGTGAAGTTCGCTCAAGCGAGTGCTCTGGCGGCAGCGGCAGTAGTCAACGCTCAGAACGACCCGTCGAAGACGTTCCTCACGTTCGGATATCCGGCCCAGTGGTGACGGCTGGATCCGCGCACGGTCTAGCGTACGTCTCTGAGCGAATTTCGTTTGTTCATCTCATCTTCGTGCTCTACTTGCAATCCATTCCTCTGTCGTTGTGAGACTTTGAAACGTGTTTCCAAAATAATCCATTTTATGGTGCATATATAGCTGAACATAGCCAAAGGGTAACTATGTACATAAATATGACTATCCCACAGAATCGTTGTTCAATTCTGAGTTCTTTGGAGAGGGATTTGAAGCCATGGATGTACCTGTGGTGTCTGCGCGACCCGATTCTGCCGTTCCCACGTTCTCTCCAACTAAACCCCTGACAAAAGTCGTTTCTTCAGCGATCGGATGAGCGAAAATGCTGCGGCTCACGTTCGCACTGATAGGTATGACAAGAGCGAAATCGCAGCCGTAATTCCACTTTTTCTATTTGAATGAAAGCTTTTGATGACGCCGCGCGCTGCAATATTCACCAGGTTCTGCAGAAGGGAGGGGAGAGAGTGGGATTAGCATGATCGTCAGCTCCTACTCTTCTTACATTGTATAATGATATTCAGAGAATCATCGTGCCAGTGCGTATATATTGTTCGCATGTTTCGCCATCGTCTGTGTTTGTCAGTGTCATTTATATGGTTTCGACTTGATTACACCTTGCTCTCAAGCTTAAACAGAGCTAGTCTGTTATAGATTCTTTATTCCAATAAAACAGATCATCAGCCTATGTCAAAACGTATTGCCGTGCAGTATTTTAGTCGGAGAGCCGACGACAGCCAAAGCCATTGTCACAGTTTAACAATAGGGGAGCAACAAAAATAACCTGAAGTATTTATGGACCCCAAGCTACTCTCGATGATTTACATTTAGGTCGCCGATTAGTGTGTAACAGTGTCTCGCAGTTGGTCCACGCCGCGGCTCACAGAGGATCGGAGGATGTGGAGATCTGGGTTGAGCAATAAGAGTGGGCACAAAGAAAGGGTCAAGGCGGAGAATATAGGTTTAAAAATAAGTGAGTACACTATCGCTAGCTGGAGCATGATATATAGCTTTAATAAGAAAAAGGTAGAAAAACGAAAAAAAACAGGAGCAACAAATTTTCTAACAGCCACTACAAAAAGTATGTTGGCTCAAAAAACGAGAGCCTCCCAGTTCTGAATAATGAATTTGTATCTGTATTATTACTTAGCAAATTTCATGCTCTAGCAGTAGTAGCAGTTGTTAAGTGATTAGCTGAGATTAAGTAAACATTCTGGCATTTGAGCGTCACGTAAGATAGATGACTTACGCTTAATATAATTATAGACAACAACATAAGCTTTCTGCACTTATCCAAATGATTAATTGGTTTGTGATAATCACTGCACTCCCAATTTTCTTGATATGCTAAGAATTAGCACTGAGTACGATACATCACATGCTCGGACAAATCACCTTGTAGACGTCAACAATATCCACTGAGAGCAAGTGATTGATGAGGATAAGAATCTGAGCTTGTTATCGCAAGTCTTTGACAAAGCAGAGAATCCAGATTCTTACGGAGTGCAATGTTCACATTGTGAGCATATTTTCGTCAATTATGTTCGGCACATGACATTCTTTGGAGTTTTTCGGAATCAATAGCAACACTAAGACAATGGTCACAAAAAATTTTCCGAGCACACATCTTAGTTATATTGTACAGTTTGCTACAACTATGCGATGGTACGATACCGCTCACATTTTGTGAAAGAGACCGCGATTCCCGCTCGCGTTCTCGAAATTAGTTTCGCATGATACCTCGCATCAGAGTTTTTATTTTGAACTTATAGGAACCATCCAACTCAGCTCGGCACCACACATTTTTTCGATTTATGAAAGTGCCAGTTCTTGTGTGGTACAATAAGTACGGTAGGTAGCCCGAAGCAAATAATCTATGTATGTGTTATTACTAGCCAACTAAACCATCCTAACAAGGAAACCATGTTTACCCAAAATGGCCTCTCAAAGAGATGTATACCATATTGAAGAGCATAAAACGCTGATTCCAAATCTGCCTTATCTGCGGATGGACGAGGATTATGAGCCTTTACAGGGGCAAAAAATTGAATGTGCATTTGACATAAAATGAGTTGCTATAATCTTACTAAATCTCAAATGAAGCAACCAAGTGTGATAATTTTTTTTCTGTTCAAAAGTATTTATCGCATAAAGGTGCTGTGGTAATCCTCACTGCTTCATTAAAACGCTAAAAAATACTACGATAATTTCGACCTATTTGTACATCTAATTTCTTGCTTTGCTGCTCATAACTCCTTATCCATGAATGTGCCGCAGATAAGGAAGGCAGATTCGAAATCAGCGTTTTATGCTCTCCAATATGGTGTACATCCCATCTAAAAAGGCCATTTCGACTAAACATGGTTCCTAACCGGAGGAACGATTACTGAATACTCACAAAATTCTAGTTATTTAGCGTATAACTCCTGTGCCTAGACAGGCATTCTATATCTCAAAAGATGCGCCTCGTCGAGCCAAATCAACCGGACTCTATGGTTTTTGTAAGCTGTGTGCGGTATTACATGATTATTAGCAACTCTGTTACCATCTGAAGGGTGGTCGTAAAGCAGACATCCCTAATGTCTTTCTCTGAGGTTTTCTCTTGGAATTTATCTGTCATTTTTGAGTTGATCGTTTCCTCTATTTGCAATACTTCTACAGAAACGATTAGTAAAAAATGATGATAACGTCACAAAAATCGATCAGACTACCATATCAACCTTGAATAGTAGGGGTATGTAGATGAATAATTTGAAAGAGAAAGGCATATACCGATTAGTCTGCATGAGCAACTGCAACCCATTAGCTCCTCGGCAGAATCATAGTGCAGTATCGACGATAGCGGATGTGCGATATGCGATACCAGCTCATTTTCTCAATAAGGCTTCACTGCAAGGAAGGTTATGATATTCGTCTTCAGCATGGCATAACACCCAAGTGTAAATATTCATCTAATTCTGAAATTTTGGCGCCTCGTCATGTATCTACCCTATTACCATGTATCTACCTGTATCTATCTATCTATCTGTATCTATGTACTGTATTCACGTAATGACATTCCCATGCAAGAGTGCCAGTTTGTGACGGTAATTCGAATAATCCCTAATGCAGATAACGAATCATGAGAAACTCAAATGGTTTGTAGGAGCACGATCAGGTGCACGTCGTAAGGTGTAAATTTTCTGTTCGTCATTGAGGCACCTAAAACCTGTATAAACACTACTAAAAGAGCTTAGCTAAACTTCTGCAGTCATATCATGGAAACAGCATGGATTTATTCCGGGATCTTCCACGAGTACTCACTTGACAAGACGTTACCAAGACTGGGTCAAGACTCTGAGCAGCGGGAATTCATTTGAAATCATATATTTTGACCTCATTAGAACATTTGATTCTGTAAAACATTTGAATCTCCTGGCTAAACTCGAAAGTATTGGAATCAGAGGCAACCTTTTGGCGTGGTTTGAATCGTATCTCTCAAATCGGAGATTTTCGTTCCTGTTCCAAGGCCAATGCTCCTCAGAAAGGCTTTTGCCCTCGGGTGTACCGCATGGAAGTGCATCGTCTCCGTTACTTTTTAACATATATACAATGGAACTCCCAAAACTTCTGAAAACTGATACTCGGATCAGTGTTGCAGCGTATGCGAATGAAAGATCTACGCTGTTTATGACGCAAATGAACGCGAAATAATTGGTAAATGGAGGTTATCGGTGCATCAAATGTTGAGATGATATGGGAGTTGGGGATCACGAGTTAATCTATCGAAAAGCCAGATACTGAAGTTCGGAAAGAAAACTATTGGTTTTGACTATGGACTCCCTTTGAACTTCAGCAGGAAGTTCGTGATTTAGGTGTGATAATGGAGTCTTCTCATAGAAACTCGGCTCAGACTGATAACATAGTTGCAAAGGCTACGCGTGCCATTTACTCCTTGTTTAGGGATGTTCATTCTTTGGACAAAACAGTTTGGGTAAGATTGTACAAAATATACATCTTACCCATTCTGGAATATTGTGGTCCTCTCTGGAATCCTAGTTCAAAAAAGATAATATCAAGCTTGAAAAAGTGCAACATATGTTCACTCGAATATTATACTATTGCATATTCCCAAACAGGGAGTTAAAGCTCTCCCATTATAAACATAGGCTGGCTAGTCTTGGTCTCGAAACCTTATACCACAAACGTATTCTAGCTGACATCCTATTAGCTCGCAAAATTTTGAAGCAGGAGGTACGTTTAAAATTCTCGGACTTTTGGACATTCCGTCCCTGCCAGAATCGGAGATTAAGTCTAAACATTAGTGTTTCCAGATGCAAGGGATGGCGTAAACAACCACTTCAGGATTCGTTTGCTAGATGTGTATCTCGTTTGATTAATCGTCTTCCCGTTGATGTTCTGTGCTTGATTACGGTCAAATTCAAAAAGTACCTCATTAGTATTGATCATTTTAGTCTAACAGAAATAGAAGACTTGCAATGATATTAGATTTTTTTCCTCGACTTGAAACGCATCTCTACCACTTACTGGCGCTTCTGTTTTCCTCCCTTTTTACGCTTGCACTGTGACGTTAGTAGCATTACTTATAATTTTGAATGCCCAGAGAGTAAGTCTACGTAAGCCCGTTCGACAGGGTTCATTATACCTGCCAATTCGAAGGTTCCGAGCATACTCAGTGTCGGGCGCACCGATGCACACTCGGCCGACTGGTATGCAACTACTATATATTCGCGTAAATGCTACTCCACTGTACGGCTGAACTTGGACAAGAAAGCTGCCTGTTGATGCAATTGTTATATACTATGTGGTAGACTTTGTCAGTGGTTATTTATGGTACTAGGCTATTTTGTTGAGTTGACCACTCACTCATAATGCTAGCTGGAGCGCACAACATGTGCCGAAATAAATACCCTAATTTCCGGGGTATAAGGCGCAGTAGCTTTTACCGCGCGCGAGCTGATGATGATGACGTACGCGATGCGCGGCGCCGCGCAAGCAGCTAACAGCAACCTCTTTCATTCAGGTAGCTTTTTGCTCCCTTTCTTTGCTGTTTTCCTCTCAGTAGTGATTTGTTTCAGAACAAATCTCTGCTTTCTCTTCTACTTCACGAATGACAAGAATAAAACAAACAGCACCTTTAAAATGTCAGTAGTGTCATTGTAAAGGAAAGCACAGTTTTGGTACCAGTAGCATTATTGGAAACAAAGGAAAGCACAAAAGTAACACCGGGGATTAACCACAGCAGTCTTGAGTCTTCAGTTTTCTAGATTTGGAGAGCAATCGTTTAGAAAGCGTTTTCGCGCGCCATTGTTCGCTGCGGCAGGTGCGCCTTATACAAGGTGCGCCTTATACCCCGGAAATTAGGGTAAATAAATATCCCAAATTTCATGGCCTTTACTAGAAAACCAGGAAAACACCGAGAAAATGGTCGTACTCATTGAGTTCCTTACATGTTTTCTTCATGATCTAATTTCGTTTCTTCGAACTCAAGATCTGCCATATTTGCGAGGAATCGACAGACTTTAACGCTTCAAAACCTTGCCTGCAAAGTGTTTGAGTGGCGCTTTCAAAGGCACCGTGCCGTCCACCCACATTCACGACTTCCAGGTTTTTGTCGTTTCGGGCCTCCTCATGTTCCAGATTACGAAAATGGCCGAGAATCCGCGAAAATTCCGAAATTCCGTTTCGGAAAACCCAATTCCGGAATTTGCGAAACGGTGATTGGATATGCGCGCAGGGCGGGCATTACTGGAGGGGGGCGTGCCGACTTGAGGTCGCACCTTCCTATTCCGAGGCGATTTTCTCGCCTCGGAAGCGAGCGCCGCAGCTTGAGCATTGGCCTAAGCTCTAGACCCCCAATTTAGAGTGGACGGAGCCTTTAACATTAAGCGCCAAATTCTACGCCTTTTTACATACACTCTTGTCTCCACAAGCAGTGCAAATGATAGGTGTGCAACGTCGCTGCGCGCTTGCATTTTTCGATGTTATGATATGCTGCTGCGATCAGCCCATTTATGCGGTTGCATAAATGGGCTGATCGGGCGCGAAAGCTGCGCACGAGCAGCAGTTATCGCTGTGCTCCGTTCCGGACAGTTCAACGCATGGCCCATGATTGCCTTTTGCTGTACATTATGCAGGGCTCGACAAAGGTGGCCTTTAAGCAAGCTGGGTATCGTTTTTGGGACAAAAAGCGAAGGAGATGTCGTTTTTGTGGCCGTAAAACACAGCTTAGGTTACGTTTATTTTATGCTCGATGTTTCGTTTTTTGAGGGTTTTGGTAGGGTTTGGTATGGAAGGGGACTTCGCAAAACTTTATACCCTAAAACCTTACAGATAAGTCCGATTTTTTTTTGACAAGTTCAGGGTAGTTATAATAGAAAGAAAACGGACGTATCTGTAGGCCGGACTCATCTGAGGGGCCTTATCTGAGTCAAAAAAGCGGGCTTATCTGTAGACGGACTTATCTACTCAGACAATCAAATGCTCTCAGCCGGCAGCCACAAAGCCACCGCCTAGACCCACCAAAAGCGCGGTGGCCTCATCGCCTCACTGTCGCTTCCCGCTGAGAGCCTGTGATTGTCTGAGTAATGGGAGGACTTATCTGTGAGTTTAGGGTAAGTCAAGGAAGACTTCGTTTTTTGCATATTCGGAAAGCTACCTCGTGCCGGGCCCTAACATTATGTCTTCTTGAATGAGATGACCGTTCACGAAGTAGTAGAAGGCTTGCGAGTGTTTTGAAAATTTAACGAAATGACTAGACGATAGGTGACTCGGAATAATTGCACAGTACCAAAAATTTTTATCATATACGACGCGAGTGATATAGGCCGTCCGCGCAGGGCGCGGAGAGTGCGCAAGGTGTGTATTGTGCGTTACTCCTCTTTCCTCGTGTACTCTCGCCGCCTGTTTTTCTCTGCGCTTCTTTCAGTCGTGAACTGCCTTCAATATACGCAACAGCGTTGCTCTCCGTGCGCAGCATACCTTCGATAGTCAGGAGACAAGAGCTAGAAAGTGATAGTTGTTTGAGTTCTTGCCCCCTATAAAAAGTGAAGGTTGTTTCAGAAAAATAGACGAGAATTTAGAGATACAAATTAAATTAGAAAACTTGGAAAATTCATATAAAGCAGAGGTTAGCACATCACCAAATCTGAAACCTTAACTTGGTGGTTTCCTACGCAGAGTTTCGTCTCCAGGATTGCCGGTAAAATTGGATGGCAACAACAACAAAGTTCTTTTCCAGTCAAAAAAGCGCTGTTTAGCTGTGGCGTTAGTTGGGAGACCGAAAGAAGAAGAACTTGTCAACAACTGAATTGAACATGTTAAACATGTCTGTAAAGTTGTGTTGCACATCGACGCCAATCTGATTTTTGATGCGTCCTTTAAATTTTCACCCCCGCATAGTCGTTTCGTACGCTGCGACGTTGTCTGGATTCTTCCGCTCAGCATTCTGAGCAAGTATCGTCCAAGCTGGAAAAAATTCGCTGCAAAAGCACAGAAAGAGAACAAGGTGAAGAAAAACGCACTTTTTTGTATTTTTCACAAAAAAAACCGGCATAAGCAAAGAAGTAAGCTCGGCGACGTTGTCTACATCATAGACAGAAACAAGACCTATCGAATGCACAAAAGAACCGAGTGAAAAAAGTTAAACTGAAGAAAAAACAAGAGGTTTTCGAAAACGCCGTTTTCCGAGGATTTCTCGTTTAAATCCTAAAAAGAAGTTCCGCGACGTTGTCAGCGTGAAAATAGAGATCAAGAGCTTTAATATGATATATAGATTATCGAAATTGGGCTCCGAACAACGAAGAAAAGGGTACCAGAGCCAAATGCCCCGCGCCCCGCATTTGAGGTAGCGAGGTAGCGCGCAGCGCGCGGAGACGCAGACGAGCAGCGGAGACAGACCAGAGCCGACGGGGCATTTGGCTCTGGTCGTGGATCTCCGCAGGGTCTCAATGAAACCCTGTAAAATTATATATCGTTGTGATCCTCATGAGACGGCCAGGAGCGCTGACAACGTCGCGGATGTTGAAAATCACTCCATAACGAGATAGACCAGCATTCATATGGCGACTCTTTGCGCAAGATTTGAGCGCAGTTTTTCGTTTTTATTGAGCTCTAGCGGCTTTAATGAACTTCCAACATTCAACCGCAGTTCAGAGAAAGGTTAATTGAGAAATTTTGTCCTAGTTTTTGATAGAATTTTTAAACAAAAACCTTCTTCTCAACAAAAAAGGCCATAAAAACGCAATCCTTCGGTTTTTTGAGCTTCTTTTGAATGTCACTGCTATAATTGCCTCATTTAAATTCATCCCTATACGGTTATGTCATTAGTTGTGTCATAATTTCCGGATCTTCGCCCCGGATGACTTCTGTACTTCTCCCCAGGTGAAGGTTGTGTTCTATAATGACGCTCAAAGTGAAGGTTACCAGAGTACATGGCTCTATGTATCGAAGGTATGGTGCGCAGCGCGGACGGCCTATAAGAAGCAACCGAATTTATCGTCTGCTGCAAGTTAAGGTGAAGTTACTTCAGAACAGTACCTGCAGTTCCGTGAAAAATCTTCTTCGGTAGAACGAAAATATCGTACAACATGATCCTCAAGGAAAGCAACCAGAATTTCGTTCTGAAATTGAGTAACGACGCGAAATTCAGTCTGGATAGCACTGTGCACATCAACCTTCTGAATCATTCGAATCATACTGCTGTATTGGAACAGAATGGACCCAAGAAAACAAAGTGATACCCTATGTACCTCTCTTGAAGGTGTTGTAACTGCATGAGGAATACGGTGCACAGACCTTGATGGAACCTTGTGTGCTCCCTGAACATGTTCTGCTGTTGCAATGACGACAGTTCTAGACAAAGTCAACTAATACTTACTTCGTTATTGGAGATAGTTGAAGATGGGCTTCCCACTCGAACAGATCCGTCGGACTGCACGTCCACATTTACAGGATGTCTCAAAAATGTATCAAACGTTTGATCGCTAATAATTTTCTTGCCTGAGTAGCCTTCGCAAATCCTTGGATAGCATATTATAGGGCTTGCTTCAACTTACATCTGCAGCATAAAAGAAGTAACACATCGCTTACTACTGGATTAAGGTACAAACTTTTAGCACATTGTCGTCTTTGCATACTTCCTACCATTTTAAGGTGGACCTCTTGAACTTGGTGAGTAAATAATGATGAAATCAGATTGTTAATAATCACCGGAAAAGCCGGCGTCACGGTAAGCCTTTGAGGTCTAGCTTTTGATTCAGAAGTGACGGTAGCCTATTGTAAGACAAAGTTCCCACTCCTTTCAGACAAAATTTTCAAGCTAAGTGCTCAACATCGCAGAAATTCAAAGTCCTTATTTTCTCCTCATAACTACAGTTACGAAGAGAACTCGTGGTCTGTTTTTTTGCAAATCTAAGTTAAAGCCAGCATTACAATATTATATTTGGAGATCCGCGGAGACTGTTCAGAACAGACTTACTAGTCAAACGTTCAGTATTTTTTGGGAAACCTTGTACTATTTTATCGGTATGTTAATTTAAACTAATCTTGTTTTACTCACTCTCAGGAGTGTTTCATTCTTTTATTGCCGGAGTATGTCGATATTCTCAACTCAGAGTAACAACAGTGCGACAGTGCATCACCTCTGCATCGCAGAGGCTCGCACTGGTCCCACCTCTGTATGCCTGACTCATTCCCGCAATAATGACATTGAAACTCAACGCGCTATGCAGACTACCACGAATATTTCTAGACAACTACTCATCAAAGCTTTTTCATGTAAGATTGGTAATCTCGCGTGGATGAAACTTCCCCCAGCAGAACAAATGCAAATTTGAATCGGCTTTTGGATTTTTCATGGTTTGATGGTGCCTCAAAGACAGTAATCACCATGGGCTACATCTCTGTGCAAAGATCTTCACAAATGATCAGGTAAAATCCTGACAAATTGAAATTTACACAGCCGTTTCTTTTTGGCGCCCTGTTCGTACAGTAATTGACTTTTGACCATTTTTGCGCTAAAGCCAATAGCTTGCACATTTACTTGTCAAACATATCGATTATATTGCAAGAAGTAATGCTACAGGCCAAAGTTTGCTGCCCGGGAACCAAGTGATCCGTTTGATGCGGTTTTTGATGGATGCGTCGTGCAAAATTTGGACTCAGGACGTTGGCTGGAATATGCTCCACGAATTTCGTAACGGACAGACAGACTCACACATACAAAAAGATCAGTGGCGGTCCGAGGGGGGAGGCGGGTTTTTGAAAATTACTTATATGGGTTATAAAAATGTGCAAGTGACTTGTTCTTACTTGTAAATAATTGAAATAATTTTTTAAAATTCAAACTAGCCTTGTAAAAAAAATTTTTTCGGGGGCGTGGCTAAAGCCACGCCCCCTTTTTCTTGATTTTGGGGGGTATGAGGCCACAAAAAATTCCGGAACCACCCCAAAAAATTTTTTCGGAGTGCGTGGCTAACGCCACGCACCTTCATTCAAAAAAATTTTTTTGGCGCCCCCCCCCCGGTCCGAAATCCTGCGACCGCCACTGAAAAAGATGTAAACAACCCTTGAACAGTCATTATAAGTAATGACAGTATACACAGTACACATAGTATCACAGTATACATAAAATTCCCAAGTTCCGTAGAGATCATACGTAAGTAAGACTTACCGCGATATGAGAATCACCTCTGCTCGTAGAGTGCTTGTTAAGTCACTTTAAATCTCCTATCACTTTCTGATATCGTACGAGTTAAGAATTCTCTCTAATGAAGCTTGAAGACGTAGTCCTCACCCACTTCGAGCTCAACTTTTACTACAGTTACCTTATTTTATTGAGATCCCATCAAACACAAAAGTTCAGACACCACATCGCACTAAGCAATTTACCTATACATTGGTCGAAATATGGCAAGCTAGAGCTTTTCTACATGAATGACATTATTAAGAACTTATTGTGACTGAGCTTGCTGAGTGCTCAAATATTATATTTCACTCGCTTTCAAAGTTTTTTTTCACAAAGAAAACCTTTGTTCAACTCATCTTTATCACCTCAAAGTTGCGCGGTATCACATCCGCTGAAGCCTGGTTGTTGCATATGAAATCAAAAGCTTATCCATCCATCACAATGGCGGACCGTCGCGAAATTTTTGAAAGATACTTACATGGGTTACAACAATGTGCTAGTTACTTGTTTATACCTGTATATAATCGATACAGTTTTTAAGTTGTAAAAAGAGGTTTTCTGGGCTCGAAGCCCCCTTCTTCTAGAATTTCGGGGTGATAGGCCCGTAAGGATTTTCGGAATCATCCCAAAGAAATTTTCGGAGTGCGCAACTAATGCACATTTATTCAAAAACAATTTAGTCCCACCCTTCCATCCCCTCTCTCCCCAAACAGAAACCCTAGAACCGACGCTGACGTCGGTAGGTCAAGTTGGTCTATTTTGCTACAAGATAGTCCAAACACGTGCAGATTCATATTCGTTGGCCGAAATCAGTTTCTTATAAAGGATATTCGTCGACGACTGCCCCAACTAGTGCAATTACACAACGGTGAGCGTGCTTCTTTGGAGCCTTTCCAGCTTGTCAGGAGGACAGGACAGGACAGGGAAAGGACAGGGATGCTGCGCGCTACCAGGTCCCCGCGCTCTGCAGCGTACTGTCAAGCAGGGTCAAGCGTGTTGATGCGATCCTAGGCCTTCTTTTACGACCCATCCTTGAACTACCCATCAGTGCACCCCCCCCCCCCCCCCCCCCCGTCCCCCTCGCAACCAATAACAACCAAGAAACCTCGCACGGGAACGGTTCACTTCAGTCAGTATAATTGACTATTTTATAATAAATCATTTTTAGTGATAGATAATAAACTCTTCTGTCGTTTATAAATATGCGGTATAACTTATTTATGTTTCAGTGGTACCGAAAGATATTGACAATGGTTCTGGAAATTAGAACGTTTTAGACTGTCATGACAGTCTCGTGTCTCGTCCTCGTAAGTGACACTTTTTTTACAGGGAGGAAAAACGATATCTTTGAAGCGTAAAATATGTTTTCGACTAAGAAGCTTATTTCCCACCTGTTGCACATATTTTCTTGTGAAAAAAATCGTTTTAGCGCCATCCAGAACGATGTCAAAATCGTGCATGAGCACGGTAATTTGAAATTTCGTAATCAAAGTCAGGAAAAGATTAAGAGGCTCCAATGAACAGCTTTTGTAGAATAGTGCTTAGACACTTGAAGGTAAAGCTTGCAGCCACACAGGAGCAGTAAGCTCGAAAAAATTTAGATGCGTTTCTAGCAAATTTAGATGCGATAGAAGCCAAAAACTGGGATTTCTGAGCTCAAAATTCCTGTGATACAGCAAAATTGCAGACCTCCATAGCTGCGAAAAAATCTAGATGCGACCCAGATACGATCTCCATTTTTTCATTTTTTGTTGCCGGGCTCTTGAAGGACATAATAAAAAAGTTTCAAAAAGTATCGATGGTCATCGCTGGTAGAGATGAGCGCTTTTGTCGAGAGCGTGAGATTTCAGTGATGCTTCGGAACCAGGATTTCTAGGCCAACTGGTGCATTTAACATTCATGTCACGCATAATGCCTAGTGTTTGAGCTTCTGAAAGTGTCATTGGAATCTTGGTCATACTTGTGGCCAGCAAGTTCGATCCCCGTCTGCGCCACCTTTTTTGCAAGGAGAAAAATGCTGCTTTTTGAAGAGTAGAGAACGTTTGCGACTGAGAAGCTTACCTACATTCCACACTTTTTGATTCGGACCACTCTTTCTTACGACCAGGGTCAAGCATGTGATGCGACTGTCGCAACGGGGGGTCGTAAAGCGGGCAACTAAGGTGGGGAGGGGGTCGTAAGAGAAAGTAGTTTGGCTGAAAACCGTAAGCTTAAAAGGAAGTCAAAAAGCAGACAACCAGTACATGTTTTTCAGAATAAATTTAGAAAAAAATTACAAATAAGAATACTAAGGATTAAATTTTACAAATTCTCAAAAAAACGTTCCCAAGAGCTCAAAACACTTTTGAAGAATGTAAGATTTGATTGAAAATCGAAATATATTAATTGGCTTAGGAATCTTGCTTCCGAAGCCTCACTGAAGTCTTAAACACTCGACAAGAGCGCACATCTAGATCAACGATGACAATCATTTATTCATAAATCTTTTTGTAATGCCATTTATACGGCCCTTACAATTTATATGTACTTTGGAAGCCCTGCTATTACTGTGCGAAATCTGGTGTTATTTTGTAAACTGTGGACGAGTTATGAACGTTGCAGCACACCGCCGTATGCGGAGTCCCCAACCGTATGATCCGAGCCTCTTCGGTGATTTCTTGGGCCCCGTAGACCCCCTTTCTGACTGCGAACTTCGTCATCGCTCAGTTAGGGTGTCTGTTATCACAGTGATACTAGAGCGGGGTACCTCCCGTTTGCCTGGACGCGGCCTTCAAGGGAGCAGTGTGCCACTTGTTCAGCGCGAGTCAAATCGCCCCGAGCGATCCACTTTGAGAGCGATCTCAGCGCAGGGAAGATCGAGTCACACCTGGACAGTGAACAATTTGAGAAGTAGTACTCTGACAAAGCCTCTAGAGCTCGCATTATCTCAATTTGAGGATTACTGAAAAAGTCGTAAACATCGCTTGGTGTCAAAATTGTCAATGTCCTCTTAATAAACCCTCCATTTGTAACCATTTCATAGCTTCAAGCCAATGTCTGCGTTCACGTGACTCGATACAGCTCAGAGAGGTAAGACTATTGACAGACGTCACATATCTTCAGGGCAGTGCATGATGTCTAACATTATCCTGCGAAATTGCTTACCAGACGATTTGAGGAAACGTAAATCTGTAAATAATCTACTCGTAACTTTATTTTAATACCCACATTATAATACTAGTGACTACCTAATTAACAACTGTTACACAGTATGGGTAACAGAACAAACGGGATTATTGACCAGGGGAAAGTTCAACACACAAGCAACGACTAAATTCTCCACTTGATCGCTCGACTATTTATAATAACCGAAGTTAAAGCGGAGTTGTTCGAAGAAGATAAATGTGAGCACAGTGTGAGGAGCTAGACGGACCCAAGCAGGAATAAATCCCTTGAAAAATCCAGCTGGCCCAAGTTTTGCGGTGTAGAAGAAGCAGTCGACAATACCCTGAAAACTCATCACTCAGAAACAAGTGGTTAGATCTCCTCTGAACAGACTGAGTGTATTATCATTTTTCGCTAGAGCTGCAATTTGGTGCTACATGCTGATAGTGGACTCAAGCCAATTTCGGTTTGGAGACAAATAAGCAAGACTGATTATCACAAGGCTGATTGCAGACAAACCTTAAATTGTCCCGGTGGCGCGTTCATCAAACGCGTTTTCATCACATCCAGTGGCTGAGTCAACACTGTAGCGATACTAGCCTTAAAAACCAAGAACAAGTGAAGACAAAGAAGATATCGGATAAATTAGCACATACCGCGCAGAAACTGCTTGAGAAATGAGTGTATAAGTTGTCTTTTCCAATTCCATATTCGATCATCATTTGTTTGATTTGATCATAGAAAGACAATTGCCCAATGGTCATAAGTACTGCCCTAGATGTCGCCATTGAAGCACCTGTAATGATTTTACAAGCATATTCAGATGTTGTCTACACACAGACTGTTTATCACAAAATTATGGCATCGCTTTCCAGATAAGGAAAAGCTACGCACTCAACTAACATTTTACCTGAATGCTATGCAGAGGATAATGACTCTAAACTTTAAATTCTCACGAAATTTCCATTGTCTCTCAGGCTGGGTTCATACGGATTCCCATGTTCTGGAACTGTTCCCGCACAGTTCCAGCACAGTGTGAGAACTGTGCGGGAACAGTTCCAGAACATGGGAATCAGTATGAACCCAGCCTCACTGACTATCCTTTGATTCAACTGGCTTGGCTTCGGGAAGGCGGAGCTTTGTGACGTGATTGAGGAGACTCGCGCCAGCGACGCATTTGCTTCTCTCTCGCGCAAGTATTCTCTGATCACTAGCTAGCCTTGATTAGGTCACGCAGCCCCGCCTTCGCGAAGCCAAGCCAGTTGAATCAAATGTTACCCTGTCAAGGTTTTATAAATTACTAGCTGGCTTACCCGGCTCCGCCGTATGTTCCGAATAGAAAATTCCATTTCTTAACCGATCCGGACCAAACTTAGCACACATACACTTCGGGCCCCGGCGGGTGTCATAGGCTACTTTTCGTCATCGATCGATATCGATTTTATCGATTTTTTTTACAAAATCTGAGCTACGGGGCTGGGAGTTGGCACAGGGGGGTAATCGAGCATGCTGAAATCGATGAATCGATAAAATCGATATCGATCGATGACGAAAAGTAGCCTATGACACCCGCCGGGGCCCGAAGTGTATGTGTGCTAAGTTTGGTCCCGATCGGTTCAGAAATGGAATTTTCTATTCGGAACATACGTACACACATACAGACAGACAGACAGACAGACAGACAGGCAGACATACAAACAGACATTCAGCTTTATATATAAGATAAAGGCTTCGCAAAACACTGATTTGAGGGAAAAATAGACAGACCTCCAAACAGCCGTACTAGTCCTTCCTCCCTCAGAATACGGAAGATTCCATCCAAAGCATGCTTGTAATTTCGCCTTTGAGCGGGAGGAAGCTGTAAACAAAAAGCTGAAGGGTCTACGAATCTTGAGTAAAGTTGCACGGTGACGATACGGAGCTACGAAACTGTTTGTGATCGTTTTCTCAGCTAGTACTATCCGCGGCCCAAATAAAACGCATGCCCGCTACTAACCAGCGTTACCTAATAACTTGATTGATCATGGTTGACATATCGCTCATAAACTTCAACTTGTCTGCAGGCAACCAATAGTTGGAAGGAATATCGATTCTAACAGCTACGCATTTGAAAAGAAGTCTCCGCAAATCATAACTCGAAACCCCCTACACGACATAAAACAATGTATGGTCAAAATAGTAATGTAAGAGCTTTTTCTACAACGACCAAAGCAGTAGTTCGTATGAATCCCAGTCTCTTTACTAGTGGTACTTATAACAATCACTTCAAGCCCTGATTCAAATGGTTCGCACCAAAGCGTGAACTGCTGCTCAAATTTTACACGCTGTAATCAACATTTTTTCTTATACGATGTAAAAGCTGCTCCGGCACAAACGCTAGTTCCCCTAGAGCGATAATGTAGGAGTTGGTGACTTTTATGAAGATTTACATCGTTGCGTTCGCACCTTTCACAAATTGAACCACACGCCTTCTCTTGACACTACCCTATATCTGATGTGGCAAAAGAAAAATCAACCCGAGTCACGATACTTAACTATTTTAAAACCCGGCATAAATGTAAACAACAGCAACTTTCAAATGAGAAAACACAGAAAACATTGTAGAAATAAAAAAAAAATTTGCAAAGAAAACATACTGCACAAACCACTGCTAGAATTGTCTTACAGCAATAAAGAGAAAACGAATCACACCTTCATATCATTCTGCATCCTAACGTTGACCAAATCTCCTGGCGTGCCAACAAAGCCACCACATGCTCCGGAAAATCCAGCAAGGAATGCTTTCTGATAAAATGGCAACGGCTGGTCTAAAAGATTGTATCCAAACAACAAGATTTTTGGAGCACTGTATTCACACCTTGAGGGAACTGCTTCTTTAACGTTTCGTAGAGTCCGAAACGAGTAGTAGAGTAAGTGAGCTGTCGCAACAATGAAGCGGATATTCCATTGTAGAACGCCAGTACACCGTCGCTTTTGTACAGTTTAACTGCCATTTGGCCAAGACCCATTTTTCCCGCTTGTTGGGTTTGCAAATGTACCTGTTTTTAAGAAATAGATATGAATCGTATAAAGACCATGGTTTGGAATAATAGAATCTACCTTCAGCAAATCCAGCGGATGCGTGCAACATGCAGCCCCAGCAGAGGCCAGTCCGCCAAAGTACCAACGACCGATTTTATCCTGCTTTCGACGAAGAGTCATTTTCTTTTCACTCATTTCGATATGGCTGCCCAAATTCCGCTGAAATTCAAGGTCCCTTTTGAGCCATATGAGTGCGGATGAACGGAAGCAGCGAGAGATGTGGCGACTGATGCGACTCTCAACCTTCTCAAAGATTTTTTATCAAAAGAAAACCGAACATTACACGTACAAACTTCAATATGACTGCGCATGTGTGGGAAGAGGACTTCAGAATATAGATTACTGACAGAGAAACAGGTCACGCCATTTCAGCTGTTGCCTTCTCTCAAGAGAAATCATTTCATCTACATACGTTGATGTAAACTGATTTTCAAATTATTGATTACTGAGTGGGGCCGCTGTCAGCTGGATCATGGCTATTTCGCTTTCCACTCAATCAACGTCATACCAATGCATTGTCCTTTAAACCCTTTTCCTATCTGATGTAATCTACTACTTCCCCCTCCCCCCACCTTTTTAGAACCCAACAGACTTCACGGAGTCTCGGTTATCAGAACATTCAGCTAACTTTTCGTATGTTCTTGATAAGAGAGTTCAGATCGAGCAAAAGAGAGAGAGTTTTTGTACAATAAAAAAAGAGAAAACAAAAAATGGAACGCTCGAAAGAGGCCCAGCAATCATCAGGATGATGGACTCACAAAGACGTTTGAGTAGTTTACTAAATAAGGGAATGCGTAGTAGCGTTGAGAGATGACAAACTGGAGATGAGAGACTGTTACGACTCAAGTGGGACATGAAATCCACCAAGTTTTCGTGCAAAGGAGTTCAGGCGGTTGAGATGACAGACTGCGCAAAAATCTGTGACTGACAAAGTGCAGCGCTTATCGATGGTACGAGTGTCTAGAACAACTTTACAACGAGCTTCAACCTTCCTGAACCGACGTTTAGACTCAAAGCAAGTTCGTTCACTATAAATTGAGCGCGATCCAACTATAACTTCTCATGTGTTTAGGAATCACTTTGTTGTCCTGAAACAATATAAACAAGTGACATTCGAACAACAGTGCTCGTCTCTCCCTGTCCAGACGCATTCCATCGACGAGACATCAATACTGCGCTCTGCACCCAACGTGCACGTAGACGCTATACTTTAGACGCAGTTCGGAATAGCGTATCCGGCCAAAAGTCACAAAGATGCAGTTCATTCGGAGCTCTACTGTGCACAATGATAAATCGATGCAATGAACGAACATTCAAGAGAACTAGGACCGGCCATACTATTCCAGGAAGTGATTCTCCTACAATTCTTATGATTCCACGACTTCCGATGTGACGCATTAAAGAGCGCTTTGCGAATTTTGGTATACACTGTTTTCGCGGGACCCGCAGGGATCACAGGAATTAGAATCACAGGAAATGCAGGAATCACAGGAATAGTATGGCCGGTCCCTATCAGATACTAAACAAACTCTAAGCTGGCGTGGATTCCATGACGACAGGAAACCTAGCTTACAACTGTATAAATTTTGATACTGGAGTGTAAGAACAGCACAGTATGATGAGCACATGAGAACAGAAACCTCAAGGTAGAGGAGATAGGTCAAAAGAAAAGTCCGCATAGCGAATGATGAGCAGCAAGTATGATGTATACTGATGATGCGTTGAAGTGGAAGTCACAAATAAACAAAAAACATTACGACAAATCAATAACAATGAAAATGCTCACCCAAACAAGCTATTGGAAAACATTAAGTGGGTGCACTTATTACTTCTGAGGTGAAAACAAAGAAAGACGGGAAGAAGAAAAAGGTGCGAAAAGAGACTAGATATTTCGTTCTCAATGTGAAGTGAGGAGCAGTAAAGTATACGTGATCTACTTCTCTCTATATACGATATCCATACTTTCAACAAGGAGGAGAATACCATAAGGTAAACGGCATCTTTGAGAAAATTACTTCGAAGCACTCTGACATTCGTTTTGGACGAGCCGCGCGAAATTTGCATACGAGCGGACTCCTCAATGGCCGTTCGCCCGCTAAATGCGCTCGGGTGATACGCGAATTTCGCGCCGCTGGTACGCTGTCACTTCGGAGCCGCTGGTACGGTAATTTCGTGCTTGAATCGCTGATATGACAATTTTGTATAACGCCACCGATATGGCAGTTTCGGAAATCACATCCGGCTACAAAATTAAGCAACACAAAGGTACTATTGAAAACTGTCTATAGGACCACCTTCCGACTATGTCCTTGTGTAAACCTTCTGTAAATATTGTAAACACATTGAAGTCAATCAGCATTGAGGGCAGCCTAACCATTGCGTCGTACCTTACGCAAGTACCCTTTACGCTTATAACGTGTGAAAATTACGCTATAGTTTTTGTGCACTTAAAAATGAAAAAATTACAACCGAATGCATAAATAATGATCGCGCACAAACTTAAACGTCTTTCGTTGACTATGGTAGCCGTGAACATGTGGACCTGCCTGAAAAGCTGCAGAAGCTTAAATTAGTGGTACGCGGCTCGTACGTTTGAAAGCACGAGGCCGGTACTGCTTGACAACTGCGCGCCAATCGTACTCGTGCACGCCGAATTGAGCGCCGCTCGTATAGAGTGGGGGGGGGGGGGAGGTGCTGTGGAACGCCGCTGATCCTAATTTAGACATTATGGTACGCCGCTTGTACGTTTGAAGGCACGCGGCCGGTCCTGCTTGTCAATTGCACGCCGCTCGTACTGATGCACTCTGAATTGCGCGCCGCTCGTACTCAAATCCGACTGTGTCGCGCCGCTCATACGCTCGACAGGCGCGGGTCGAAGGAATCGTTATTTTTGCGCGCCGTTCGTCCGAAACGAATGTCAGAGCAGTGACAGTAAACACCATAATTGCTATGGAATGAGTTTGATGCGCGATTCTGAGGAACTTTGAAATGTAAGGAAGGAAGGAAGGAAAGGAAGCAGAAAGCACCAGGAAGCAAATAGCAGAATGAATAAATCCGAAATATGCTGTATTGAATATACAATCGAATAGAAAATGAAAGCTTGCAAAAACAGTGACAACTGTTCAGTCGTTCTATTCATGAACCCCAAAACTTGTAAATTTCGACAGCAGTATATCGCATAAGTGAGAACTGTCTTAATCTTATCCGAACATTCCGCGCGCCGAACAAAATCTATCCAAAATCTTAAAGCCCCTTGCCAGTGGCTCCAGCTTTTTAGTTCATCCAAGACAGCTTTCAAAGAGCAAGACAAATTCCAAAGTTTACGAAGTTCCGAGTTTACGAGATCGATTTTGCCCTACTCCAATTCAACTCCTATTACAGCCCCTCATACAAAAAATACAATACTTGGGACAAGTTATCGATAATTGCAACGTTACCACCAAGAAAATAAAAAAGCAGAAGTTTGAGTTAGATAAGTTATCTAGAGTTTTGATACAAGATGCGTACAAAAAATTTGAAAGTGCCAACAGAGGTGAAGCACAGCAGATGTTGAAGCTGGTGCATCACGCGCGTTTTTCTCGTTCAATACTATTTAGATAACTGGAAGTGGTAAAATCAGACAATGCATTTCCGTCCTCGAGGCACTGAAGTAAACACGATCGATATTGAAATTAACACTCAAATCTTCCAGGAGTGCAAAATCCAGCTCATTCTAGCAGCTCACAGGCCCCATACGAAGCAGATGCCCAGCATGGCTTTACCAATATTACTCTACTTCGCTAAGGAAGTCGCCATTGAACGCAGAGAGTGATAACACAAACAAAAAGCACCAGATAACAACGGCGCTGACCGGTTCCGCATCACTGCAAGCGCGCAGGAAAAGCAAGCGTCGATTCAAATGCTGCAAGCTAAACGCACGGACTATATGTCGATTTGACGTCAACAAATGAATCAGTGCGTTATTGAGAGCTGTATTGGGATCGGCCATACTATTCCTGCTATTCCTACGACTCCTGCGATTCCTGCGACTCCTGTGAGTCCCGCACAGTTTAGACGCCGCTTAAATGAGCGCGTGTTGCGTGTTAGGTAGGTGCCAGAGTAAGCGAATATTTTGTTCAAGTTGGGGTCCTGCGGTGAACTGACGTCTCTCACCGTACTGGCATCAATCCAAGTGACGTCAATTCTCCCCAGGACCCCAACTTGAACAAAATATTCGCTTACTCTGGCACCTACCTTACGTGTTGTTTTACGCAACACGCGCTCATTTAAGCGGCGTATAAACTGTGCGGGACTCACAGGAGTCGCAGGAATCGCAGGAGTCGTAGGAATAGCAGGAATAGTATGGCCGATCCCTTAGTGGCTGGTGGGTGTACTCTCTGGTACTGACTGTACAAAATTACTTAAAATACCTAAGCCTCCACAGACGGTGCGATAAATTTGTCTTTCTAAGCGATAATGGTATGGAGATGGTAATCAGCAAGAAGTTGGACTCTTCAATGCAAGGAGCGAGGAGGGGTGTCCACTTTGGCACCCGCCATACTTGATCCGCTTAATCCACTTGGTCCGCTTGATCCGCTTCATCATTGGTCAATTCAGTGAACTGACCAATAGTGAAGCACTTATAATAGATTATTGAAAGTCGTCCTTCCAAATTCGTATTTTACTGGCACTGTGTTACGACGAGCTAAACAAATGAAATCATTTCCCTTCCAACATGGGATATTTATACGTCCTTCACTTCCTAAGGAAGAGAGGGACAAGCTTCGAAGGGATAGAGAAGCTCGTCGTAACACCCGTGTTAAGTGTACCGTTAACTCGGTTCGCTCAAGCACGGATGCCACCGAAGCTATGAATATGTCTGATGTTGTATTGATGCAAACCCAACCAAATTCTTCCTCCAATGCTTTAAATGTATGAACCTTCCGCGGACTGCCGAATCTTCTTTGAAATTTATCTTAGTTAATATACGATCTCTTAGCAGGAATATTGAGAGCTTTACATATCATATGATGAACAATGACCTTGCCATTGGGGGAATAACTGAAACTTGGTTGCATGAAAAAATTAGTGACAGTTCAATGTCCGGTGGCTTTGATAATTACATAGTGCACCGATGCGGCCGTGTGGGTAAGCGAGGCGGTGGTGTGCTTCTAGTTATTAGGAAGAATCTTAACTCTTATCTGGTATTTAATGAATCTGTGCCTGATGGTTACGAAATTATATGTTCTGATATTGTGGGCTACAGAGCGATTCGTGTTATCTTGGTCTACAGGTCTCCCTCCTGTGCAATAAATAAGACTAGGCAAATGATCAAGGCACTTACGGACCTTCTTAGTTGCGGCAGTTCTTTGCTCCTAATGGGTGATTTCAACTTCCCTGGTATTGACTGGTCATACCACGCTGCTACGATGCCCGCCCGACTTGATAGTGCTGCCAGACAGTTCGTCCATATGTGCCATCAATTTAGGCTTTCTCAAAAGGTATGTTCTAATACGCTGGGCCAACATAAGCTAGATTTAGTATTCACCAATGATTCTTGTCTTGTCAAAGGGGTGAGAGTTGATGCTCCACTGGGCACAAGTGATCACGCTACGGTTAAATTCATTGTTCAAAGCTTTGCTGAGCATACGAACTATGTCATGCGCAGGGATTTCAAACACGCTGATAATGAGGGACTTATTGCCTACCTTAGCGGTATTGATTGGTACGGCTCTCTCAACTCGGCCGCTACAGTCAATGCCATGTATGAGCTGTTTATAAATATACTCCACCAGGCTATAGATCTCTTTGTCCCATGGGTCTCACTTCCACTGCATGCTACGGTGCTACCAACGCACCTGAGGAGGCTTCACTATAAGAGGAATGAAGCATGGAAAAAAGCTAACAGCACCGGAAATGATCTTTACTGGGAACAATTTAGACGATTTGATGCCATCTTCACCAAACGTTTGAAAAAGTACAATTCAGTCACTGAAAAGAAGGTTATTTCTTCCGGAAATAAACTTCTTTTTTACAGATTTGTCAGCTCTAGGCTTAAGGAAAAGAGTAGAATTGGTGCGATCTTATCTGATGATGGATCTGTATTGATGAATGACTACGAAAAAGCTGAATGTTTTGACAGTGTTTTTGAAAAAGCCTTCTCAGATGAGGCTTCAGATGACGTGGCTGTTAGTCCAGTGTGTGCAGTGATGGAAGAGGGGCCGTGGTTTTATAGCGAAGAAATTTATAAATTGTTGATTACTTGGCCCAGGTCTTCATCTCTCACTCCCGACATGTTACCTCTCCAATTCATTAAATCCATTGCGCATATAATTGCTGGTCCATTACAGTTTTTGTTCAATATGAGTCTAACTAGGGCTGAAGTCCCCAAGAGATGGCGCACCTCGTATGTAACGCCCATTCCGAAAAAGAAACCTTATACCTGTCCAAAAAATTTTCGTCCCGTCAGTATCACTTCAGTCTTTGCCAGGTTATTTGAAAAAGTTTTGAAGAAACATATTGTTAAACACTTGAATAACCATGGCATTATTTCCTCTTCACAGCACGGGTTTCAGCGTGGTAGGTCCACGTCTACTGCGATGTTGCAATCACTCAATGAATGGACGCTCAACTTTGATAAAGGCCTCAATACGGATGTAATCTACTTGGATTTCACTAAGACCTTTGATAAGGTACACCACATCAAGCTAGTTCAAAAACTAAGGATTGTGGGATTGCATCCTCGTATTGTCGACTGGATCAAAGCTTTTCTTGAAGATAGAACATTTGTTGTCCGTATCAATAACACGTTCTCCGAGCCTAGACTCATGGGTAGCGGGGTGCCCCAGGGAGGAGTCCTGTCTCCTATTCTGTTCAACATTTACACCTATGAACTCCCCGCTATACCTACAAAGCACGGCGTTTCTTGCAGTGCGTTCGCAGACGATTTTAAGCTGTACACCACGGTTATCAACGATGGTGATCGCAGGCGCCTGCAAGAAGCGATAGACGACGTTTATAAATGGTCGCAAGAATGGAAATTGCCAATTTCAAGAGAAAAAACCAAATTCATGAGCATTGGTCCGCAAAGCCGTACTTCTAATTTTAGTTACTCATTAGGAAATTCAGTTCTCCAGGCAATAGGGTCAGTCAGAGACCTTGGATTCTTGATAAATAGTAGTCTTACTTTTGAGGAGCACTGCAAGGTTATAGCGGATAAAGCAATGAGAGCGGTCTATAACTTATTTAGAGCGTTCTCAACGAAGGACACAGGGATTCTTTTGAAAGCATACAAGACTTACATCAGACTTATGTTAGAATATGGGACTGTGATATACAACCCACATCTGTGTAAAACTATAAACTACTTGGAAAATGTTCAGAAAAGTTTTACACGAAAGCTATTTATTCGCACTTTGGGTTTTGCGTACGATCTTATTCCTAATAGCAAGATTCGTGACAAGAAATTGGGTTTGACATCCCTTGCGTATAGAAGACGTAAAAATGACCTTATAATGGCCCATAAAATCTTGTTTGGAAATTGTGGATTGGATTTTT